GTTTCCAAGATGTGCCTGAAAATACTTTCAATATTTTTCAATTTCAGCACCCTGTATCTCGGAAACAAAGCTTTTTCCAACAAAATGTTATTTATCTCATCAATAACTGAACACTTGTAAAAATCGTGTTTTACTGTAGTGCTCATGTGGTTTTTGTCCCGTGGATAATCATTTTTGGGCATCAGCGATTAATCTCTGTGTTAAATTTGCGATGTTTATTTAAATAGCGAATACCGAAATTATGAAAATATTCTAAAAATTAAGATTTTAGTTGAGTTCCAAAAATATTGAAACATTTCCATTTTTAATTAATTATTATTAAATCGTATAAATTATTTACTTATAATAAAATTGTAAGTATCGATGTTGCATAATATTGCATGGAGTAAATGTAATTTTATTTCTGATATCTCTGTCGCAATGCATGGCTTTGCAATTGAGAAAGTTTTTTATACTGACCAAATTTCTAGTATAAAATAAAGTCTCAATATTTTAATTTTAACACGGACACAAATATAACACTACAATTTATAACTTCTTCGGTAGTAATATATAATCGGTATCTATTTTTAAATTAACAGAAAGCTTATAAGTTCCATTGGAAACAGAAATGGAATGACGCCAGAGTTTCTGGATACACAGAAAGATATTTATTTAGAATAAAAACAAAAGTTTTGGCATGGATACTATCTGACTTCGAGATCTCTCAATGTACCTAGATATTTCTAACATCTAAACTTATAACCGAATGCGAATATATTTTTCTCTTCTTTCAGATAGGTTCAAACTGGCATCATTGCCAAAGAAAACTTAAATGATGGGCTAAATATTCTAATATTTTCGGTGTTTCAAGCCATGTAATAAATATGGAATCAAATAATTTTTTTACCCTTCAACTTTTACAAATGTTGACTACTTATTATCTAAATGGTTAAGAGGAGGGATCTGATGTTTCCAAGGACATTTAAATAAAGTTGACTAGGCATGTCACAGTCTGTCTCATATGTTGGGTGAAGCTAGGCAAGGGGAAAGCAGAGGGATCTATTTTCATCCAACTGATGCGCGATTACATCTCCAATGTCGTACGTTTTGGAAGGGTCAAAATAAAATATTTTATAGTTCTAAGTCAATATATTTCAACAGCTACTCAGTATTTTTATATTTATACAATAACTGTAACCATTTCTTTCTTGTTGCACCATCCCCAGGCATCCTAAAAACATTCACATTTCACTTGTAGAATACTGAGGCAAACTTTCAGTGAGACATAAAAATATATTCCCAAAGGAGAACATCAATATGGTTGAATGAATGCAACTTTCAGTTGATTGCATCTTCGGCATTTTTATGTATAAGTGAACCACCACCATATTTTTGCTGTTGTATTTATTCAGTTTTTATGCTCGTGCATTTAGTAAAATTGTAAATATATTTTTGAAAAGGTTTTTGTCGTAGAGGAAATTGAAAATAATGAATGATTAAAACTTGTAATGTTGGGTTTAAGGGATATCATTGAATTACCTATAAATATACATATTAAATATAAATAATGTCTGTAACTTATTTGTGGTGCAGCATTTTCCTTTGATTTTATTGACCAAACATGGTTCATATTATTGTTTTCTTACTATCAGCAAAAATTTAAAAAAAATACCAAAAGTCAGTCTTAAAATTTTACCGTTATTCAAATAAAAGTTACCTACAAGCACGACAATGGCCAGAGTTGCATATACATTCCAAAATCACCTTCAAGCGCGCTTACCTGAGGAAGGATAGATGTGGATGTTATTAATACAATTTCTTACAAATTCTGCACTGCCTAATCATATTCACAGCTTAAAAGTTTATCCAAAATAATATATAAACACTAATCACGTTTCACTTACTAAAATCACAACTATTTTCTAACAAAAGACGCCATATTCTGCCAACCACGGCAGAATGAACGCGGTAGACGCTACAAATTATTGCGTAGTTGCCAAGTCTTCAAACATGGCATATATGAAAAATGAAAGATAGTTTAATATGTACAGAATTTAGCAATATTGTATGCATAACTTAATGATACTATCCTATAATAATAATTTTCACAATTGTGATGAAAATTGCGTTAAAAATATTGAGTACATTTCCAGTACAATTATACAGCTGACAACAATGATACAATTAGACTGTGAATAGACGAGGCATCATCCAGAAATGTAAATAAATAAGTCCCCTTTATTTAAATGTCCTTGAATGTTTCGTATATCGAAAATGACCCAAAATAAAATTAATCATAATTCGTAATGACTATCCACTTTGAACACATTTTTGTAAAACAAATATCCAGACTTTTCTGAATAATGTAGTACCTATTTAGGTAATTTCCACATAATAATCAAAATGATACAATTCTGACATTAAGTTAATGGAGCAAACTTTAATTTATAATACGATAATGTGCATCACTCTTATTGTCATACAAAAATGCAGATATGGATAGGCTTCAAGGCTGTAATCAATATACATTTAACGATTTTACATTAAAAACGTTGCAATGAATTCCCATTTGGAGGTAAATTAAAAATCTGAACTACTTAGTTTTAATAAACAAAATGCAGAAAAATAATTTGTCAAATTATCTAGTATCCTTTCTAGTTCCATGTCTATAATGTATATTCTGTACAAAATTATAATAGAGCAATTTCAAGGATAACTTATATGTAAAAATATTTTTTTGATGACTTTTCAATGTCCTACCAGAGGAAATTAAAAATTAACACAAATATATTTATTCAATAGTTAATATATTTATTTATTTTGGTTCCGAGTAATTTTCATTTGTTGTCTTCTAATTGTAATATGTAATAGCAAATGTTAAATAAATTTGTTAGGTACTTACATACGAGTAAACCTGTGTACCTAGAAAACCACAACATATTACAGAGTGAAAAAGTCTCAACCTATTTTTACCTATGTTTGTAATGAAAAGAGAAGAGAGATTATTAGATTATATTTAAATAAATATTTTTCTATCATACTAAGGCATGTACTTGGTGATATTAATCAAAAATTTGTTTGTAAGCAAAACTGAAACATTTGTGATAATAATTGTTTGGTTAAAACGGTATACTGCTTTGGAAAATATGACCGTGAAAAATTATGCTTGTGATTTCCATATATACATACATTTAATAAAATATCCTAAGGTTAAAATATCCTAAGGTTATTTTATATGAATTACTTACTGTATGTCAGTTTTAATAGTAATAAATTTAAAAACTTAGTTTTTAAAATTAACACAACTAAAATTAGTCTAAAATCAATATTCATTTACATTTTTGTACTTTTGCAAAAGCTGAAATATGTAAATTCGAAGAACTTTCAAAATACTATCGTCATTATTCATTTGTAGCATTTTTTGATATTTATTTTTATTTTTATTGGGTGTGGGAAAAAGTCCAAGTAAATAATAAAAATGCACTATAAAATAATTTTATATTTTTAAACATGAAAATACAGGGTGTAATAGCGACGTAAGGACAAGCATTCATTCCTGATTCTTTTGGTTAAACCAAATGAAGAAACAAGAATAATATTTTTTCGTAGAACAATTTCTAATATCGATATGATCCTTCAAAGATAATTTACACTATCAGATAAGTACTCTATTACAATAGTTTAAGTAACAAATCCTCCCTTCTTGTGGTACGTGTTTTTAGATCTGAAAGCGTTGATTGCACTGCTTCCATCAGCGAACTGCCTAAAGCTTTGGTTTGTTAGAACTGTGCGTAGCAGACGACATACGCGGTTAGCAGAATCTGTAGCGTTCAATTTTTATTTTTATCATGACAATGGCTGAACATATTTTGCTGACAAGACGAACATGAAGAAGATCTTCTTTTGAATTTAATTAGTTGTTGTCGTCAAAATAAAACTGAAGATCGAATGTTTTCTAACAGACGTATGGAAGGGACGGTATACAATGGGAGAGATATTCTCGTACGAGATCGATCAATTTTTCGTCTTCCTCTGGTGAAAACTTCGTTGGCATTTTAAAATTAGTTAAAAATAAATATATATTCGTCAAATTTTGTACGGAGTAGTTTTAGAGTAAAATTTGAAAATGGAAAACAATCAGTGGCGTCACAGTTAGTAGGTATGGTAGGTATCAGCTGTAAAATAAAATTTGTATTTAAAGAGAGTATTCTGTCACAGATTTTCAATTTAAACTTTTGTGTCCCGTGAGCCTTATTGCAGTATGCACAGTTTTCTGCAGGTAAATGTCAATTATTTCATTTCAATTTTGCAACATTTAAAGGTACGTAATTATGAAAAGGGTGAAGTTATGTGTCTGACCCGCTGTTACACCCTGTGTATTGTGATATGTAAAATAAGACAAGACGATACTCGAGTATTACATATAATTTTTTATATCTATGTTCCGTTTATGTACGACATGCAGAAGTCACAAGCATGCCTACTTTTCATTTACAGTTGCTAAAGAATAATATAAAATAGTCTCCTCGTTGAGTGTGAATTACGTATGCATAAGAAAAACCATGTTAATCAAACACAATACTTTGATATTCTTTCATAAAAATATTCGATATTTTTTTTGTATTTTGGCTATATATAAGATCGTAAGGAAATTAATCATACACAAGTAAACTTCTCGTTCCTCTCAACTTGTAAATAACAGCACAATAAATCAATGCATAAATAACGATCAAAGGCGGTAGCATCAAGCAAAGAGAAACGTATTTACATTGTGTTCGCAAGGAGACACAAAAACCTGGCTGGAACAAAACCTTGCGTTCCCATTTTTCCATAAACTATTATACATTATCTCTTGGAGTTGGACTTCTCCCAACTGAGTTGGCAGACCCACCCATACACCCCGTTGAGATTGTCAGTAGCTGTTCGCTTCCGAATTTATTGCTGCAGATTAAAAGCTTACGCACTCAAGACTCTGATCAATTTTGCCTTTCTTGTCGATAATAGACGTTTTTAAATAGCACCCGCTATCATGGCAAGTGTCGGCGGATGGCACGAGGATGATCGGACATATGATATTAAGGAGGAATTCCAGGGACACCACCGGCTCGAGTGCTGCCATTTTGGGACTGAAAGTCGTGGGTGGGAAGATCTTGGAGAACGGCATGAAGGGGGCCGTTATTGAGAAAGTTAAAAAGGGCAGCATCGCCGACGTGGAGGGACAACTAAGGCCAGGTTAGTATCGTTTTAGGATATGTTTTTTAGGTAATTTAGACTTAAAAAGTAGGTACTTAATTAAAATTTTGTAATTTGAAGATCTTTAGAAATCAGGACAAAAAAAAGTAAATTTGTACAAGGCTAATCACATCCGATGGGATTTATATCTTCACAATTACTAATAATAGAAAAAAATAGTAGCATGTTCCCAAGCTCGATTTTCATCATAGATTCAACAATTAAGTCAGAAATTTCATATCTTCATTTGTCTGCTAGTTACATGCCATTATATGTATCTCTATCACTAAATGAATTAGTATGGAAGTAGAAATTGTTCTGGAGAAAAATGATAAATAATATTAGTATTTTATCGAATCTCATGTTTGCGAACTTACGAAGCAAATGTATTCTTTTTTTTAATGGGAATGGGCAGGAAGTTTGATAGATTTCCTGCGGGACAGGTGGTGCGGGAGGGAAGCTTATGCTTATACATGGGAGTTTCGTTGTAGTACCAACCTTACATAAACTAATTTGAGCGAACTAAATTTAATATATGCGAATGAAATTTATGCAAAACATATTAGCTTGCATATATTTTTCGTGTGCACGGCAATCAACATTTTATTTGAATAAAAGAGTAAAAATTAAGAACTTGTAAAACTATGGGTGAAATCTGGCAACATTGCCATTGTCATGGCGTGGTGGTAAAAGTTGTGTCAACTGTCATTACTGTCGACTGTACTTACCGCGTGTTCCGTAACATGAATGAGCATCCGAGATACAAAGAAAAAATAATGACTGAATAGCAATATAACATGCGTATGAAGAAGAATGTGGATTGATGAGAAAAAAGTAAAATGTGCAAACCGAGAATCCATATGATAACTATCAAGAAGCTTAGAGTATGGTAGTGAGACGTTGCCTTGTCAAATTGAAGATTATGACAGAACATCTATAGTCTTCGTTTTGCAAAGAGATGTTTAGTAATGTTTAATTCTTTAATAACAATTTTATTTTCCCGATCCTAACCATTTTAAAGAGCAATATTCACGTTTGATTAAAGTTTTTTCATAACTCGCCTGTGTATAAGAGCATAATTTTTAATATCATCCACAAAACTATATTGGCAATCGATCTGATATTTTTACACGGGGCAGTTTGTATATTTATTAACAGATTTCAATGATTTTGAAAACGTTTTTACCATTTTTTTTTCGGTATCGAACCTCCTTAAAAACGTCTCAAAATTTGAAAATTCAGGTCATATGACGTTATTCGCTTTGATTACAAAACCAAAAAATAGGAGGCTTAAATTGCAGCCTCACATTTTTTTCAGCTGTGCTCATACTCAGAAGTAATACACAAACTAGTTCTGCATTCTTTGATCACAAATAAAAATTACAGTACTGTTAATTTAACTTAAGTTGGATAAATATTCAAAATTTTCTGTTTTCCAACAGAACTAAAACACTATTCTCTAAACTGCAACATAGTTTGTTTGTGTTTTGTACTTTATTCTAGGTTATGACAATGACATGCACATGACAGTTTAATTTTGATATATGAATTATGAAAAAAACAAAAATATTGAAAAGAGACAGACAATAATGCTGAATCGAGCTGATGCTGAATTGGTTTAACCATGGTCTGCTAAATCGAGCATCCATGCTATTTCACAAAGCCGACGCGATTTAACTTATCGCAAAATAACCGAGAAAAAATCATTTTTGAATTAACCTATCAGGCTTTCCAAAAAAAGTAAATTGCCGAAAAGAAGCTACTATGTATTTTAACCTTTACTCCAGCTACTTAACTCAACTGCCAAGTTTCCTTTCATTGGAATTTTGCCTTTCCTATGTTTTCTAATGATGTAGTGTATTTGATATACAGGGCTGGAAAATCGACATGGTCCATCTGCCTTTACATGAGAGTGACAAAGTAAGGTAAAGAAATCCGTGCGATAGACAAGGATGGCTATAGTGAAGACGTTTCATAATCTGAATAGTCACCACGTCTTTCTTTATGACTTACTTTATCGCTCTCACGTAACGGCCGATGTACCATGGGGACTTTCCGAACCTGTATATGTTTGGTGACTAGTGTAATATTTTCACTCTACTTAATGGAAGCTTGTCGTGTCAAAATGAATACTGATAGTTTAGATTTTACGAAGAAAAGGATAAAAATTCGAAATTAGAAGTAATTTGTGAATATGACACAATACATTTCATGTTTGTATAAACAGAAATTAAATTTTTAGAGTAATGGAATTTTCCTTCCGCTTTCCTATGTTTGATATAATTCATCAAGTTTCAGATGCGCAGTAACTAATTTGCTCTTATATTTTAATATGTAATATAAAACCTTCATTAAATAATTATATTTACTAATTTATACTAGTATTAATACTAATTACTACTGTAACTATGAAAGTCGCCTGTTTCACTCCCTACTTCTTGACCTACGCAACTCACGGACAAGATGAGTTATAGTTAGAAATGTTCTATATATAAATAAGGTATGTTTCCAATATTTAATAGAAACAGTTAATTGTAATAATAATTTACTTTTACAAAGGCTTCCACATGCACAAATGTAATTTACATGTTTCTTCTTCTGTGCTTGTTCTCGAAATATTTAGTTATAATTTCCTATGATTCAAAAAGAACATCTATTTAAAAAAGGTAAACTGCTACGGTATTTCCATTTATGAACACCTTCTATACTGCCCTGTTAAGCCATAAAGTCGTAACTGCTATTATCCCTAATTTCAAGTACAAGGTTAATAATACTCCACGACATCAGTTTTATCATTCTGTTAAGAAAAAAAGACGAATTTGTTATTATTATAGGCTATATACCTGAAAATGTGAATGTCGTATCTACAATTTCCATGCCTTTGTTAGAAATAAAGTCGTATCTGAAAATCTTAGAATAAAAAGTCGTATCTGTAATATTTATCACACAGATACGACCAATTCGTCTAACAACTACAGTCACTATACAGTCACTAAATAACATATCTACAGTCACTAGATAACATATGTTATCTAGTGACTGTAATTTAGTGACTGTATTAACAACTGTACAACTGCGCCATCTACAAAATAATATCTACTTCCTGTCAGATTCAGTTTGTAACCAGCTAGCAGATAAACAGTGATTCGCTGTGGGAATTATTCAGTTTTTAATTAGTCTCGTTCATTCTAGACCGTTAAAGTGTGAGGTAGTAATATTTATTATAACGTATCCCCGGAGTTGTTTATTTAGTAAGTAATTACATTTTTTGTTCCTGTTAATCTAATTATGCATATTATCAAACAACCTAAAACTTAAAAAACGTGGTAAATGGTTAGTATCTTTTTTTCTCGTTACAGCTAAGAATTTCAAACAATTTCCAATATGAGTAAACGGGGTAAAGTTATGGTTGCTCTTGCTCTGAACAAGCAACTTGCTGAGAAAATCGATTTTTTTAAAAAGTTGAATTTTTCAAAAAGGCAGCGAGAGGATCATACTTGTAGCAGCGAATATGAGCCAGATATGGAATAAATGGATAGGGCTAGTGATAGTAACAGTAGTAGTAATTGTAACAGTTTTAAAGATATTGCAAATGTAAAAACAAAAATAAAGGTCATAAACAACGCGTCGTAATACGTATACAAAGAAGAGGAAGTTTTTGTAGAAAGTGTAGATGTAGTAAACAATAGATATCATATGATATTTTAAAAAATGTGTGGGTGGATTTAAGTGGTGGATTTTGAGCAATATTATATTGCGTGTTTCTAATGAATATTTTTCAGAAGTAGTAATAGGCATTATGGACGAAATTTTTGAAAATATCTGGTTCTCTGCAAGCAATGCCCAATTTACTAAAAAAGGCGAATTACGCAGAAGAGAAAAATACTCTCTAAGTAAATTTAAACGAAATCAAATTAAAATCAAGACCAATAAGAGTAAATATCAAATCAAAGCATCTTGCACAAATTGTAAGAAACAATATCAGTTAAAAATTGATAGTAATAGGCAAATAATAATTAATGAACAATTGAAATTTATTGTAGATACTACTTTTCTCATAGTTTCAATTTCCATCATTATTAACAGAAAATGTCGTATGTGTCAAATATCATACTCTGGCTGTATGCACAACGAAATAAAGTGAAAAAACTAAATCTGCAAGTAAAAATTAGTAGTATGCAATAAAAATATCTTTTCTGAATGTAATAGTCTTCACGGCAAATTAGACTAGAGAAAATGCTAATTATCTCAAAATCAACTATTTGACAGTTACGACTTTATGGCTTAACAGGGCAGTATAGGTATAGTGGAACGCAGAAAATATTCCTATTTTTCTAAACCATAGCCAGTTCTAACTAATATAAATATACTCCATAACTCCGTAACCATGAGATTCACTAAAAAAACTAATATTATCAACTAAATCTACGCTAAAATTCATAGACCAGTTTTTACATGAATTTTAACATATTTATCCTGCGGTGATACAAGTGATTGAACTCGATCTGTAATTTGAAACAGATGAACATCAAATATTTAATTGGACAGTTGTGCTTGAAAATTGAGCACGATAACGTGTTACATTTTTTTTTGAGATATCTTGAAATCGCATTGGATTTGACTAATTGTGGTCATAAAATGGAATCTTAAAAATTCAACTTTACCTATTGCTTCAATTTCAAAACATTTAATCAAATTTTCATTCAAAGACGGCGACTAAAACATTTTTACTTTTGATTTGATTCAGTTCATAATTTTCTTACCGAGTTTACTTTATGGGATAAGTTCATTCTCTCATTCTCTCTTCAAAGTCGCCTGAGATACCAGAAATAATTAAAAAAGTAATCGAAAACTGATTTGTTTTGTTATAAGTGAATTTCATAAAATACAAGTTTTTTTATATAAAAAACTATCTGGAATAAATAAATTTAATTTTTTTATTCATGAATTGGATTTGTTCGCCGCCTATCAGTCTAACCAGTCCATGACGTGTTAATTTTTTTAGCGTCAACATATTTATAAAAAAACTGGCTGGAATAATCAATTTTTTTTTAAAACATTTCCATGATTTCAATAAGTTCGTTGTCATGGAATGAAGCTAGGACGTCATCGTTTTTAACGACAACAACTTTTTCTTGAGAAAAAAATGAGTTCTTCAGTGTCCATATCATTATGCTTGAGTAGGAAAATGTTAATAAAGAAAAGTGAAATAAATTGACTCGACAAGAATTGAAATTCGGAATTCTTCGCACTTATTCCAGCAACATTTGTATGTCGTAGAACGCTTTTAAAAATGAATGTAAACAAGGTGTTAAAAAAGTGAAAACGATTTTAAAAGCAAAGAATATTTAAAAAATTAATCTCTTAGGGTGAAAGCATATTTACCTTTATCGGTACATAATTAAGTACCTACTGTGATCCAGTATACCTACACACCATAAAAAATTCGCTTGTAATGACCTCTTCATATTGTTTTCCTGAGTAATGAGGGAGTTGCATCAAATTTTCTTTTGAAGCAAAATTTATTTGAAGTGCAGAAAATTACTATAAAAGTATGTTTCTATATGAAAAACCCCTTTACACTTAACTATTAATATGTAATTAATTATTGAAATATTGAATATAATTAGGTGTGCGAAAACGGTCTCTAATTGATCAAGCAATTTGTGACGTCAGGATTCGGTATATTAGACGAGCGGTCCACCCCTAAAAAGATTTTTAGAAAATCAAGGTCACCGACCACGAGGAGGGGCCAGGATGAAACCTTTTGTAATCGATGCATTGAGTTATTGGGAACAAAAAACCTAAGTAACATTTTTGTGTCCGAGTGGCAGGTATTTTAACAAAAAAGTTGCAAAATAAAAATATTGCACAAAAACGCCCTGCAAAATAAACACTTTTTGTCTCTTGACATTTTTTCGTAGAACGCTTCCTTTTCGAGCTAGGGGCGATTTAAGGTCAAAAAATGGCTAAAAGTTACCAAATTTAAAAATTCATATCTCAGCTTCTACCAAAGCTTTCGGAACGTTCAAAAGCGCAAAATGATCCTCGAGACTTATACTTTAATGTAGTATTTTTTTTAAGCCAGCCCTTTTTTTTAACCCGTTAAATTTGCAGTTGAATTTCGGCCGCCAGTGCCCACGCGCCACCCCTACGTATCGCTATTTATAGATATACGGCTGTCGCGCATATAAGCGAATAAACGCTATTCATTCATTACTTGTTACAATTTTTACTATTTAGTATTTCTAACACTCATACATATTTTCAAATTCATCAAATATTGTATATCATATAATTATTTATAAGATTATTAATATGAATATCATAATTAAATGAAAAATAAATTAATTATACATTTCAAAAAATGCATATATGAAAGGTATTTATTAATACAAAAAAATATATTTACATTTAAATATAAACTTAACTATTTAATAAAAAATCAATTTTCAGTAATGAATGAATAGCGTTTATTCAATTATATGCACGAGAAGGTGTAGGAGAAATTGAAAAAAATTTATTTTTTCGATTACAGCATGAATTTAAAAAAAATGGAGGGGGAGAGGGACTAATTTAAGCACTTACGTATTCCCAGAGTGATTAAATTTTGATTATGGGCATTTTTTTCGGAGAGTGCTTATTTCTGAAAGTTTCAGTTTAAAAAAGACAACTGGTATAACAGTATTGGGAAAAACCAAGTATATCTCCAGACCTTTTTTTTGGGTACTGTTTGATTTTAAAGCTTGTTTACACCTGTTTTAACACCTGTATACTTAACTATTTAAAAAAGCAGTAGAAAATTGATTTTTATTGATTTTTTTTAATGACAATTAACAATTATTATTAAAAAAACAGTTTTTTTAACAATTTAGATAACTAAATATTAAGTATTAGAATATCATGCAGCATTAACTTTGTAGGGCTATGTAACAAAGACATAATCAAACTGTATTCTATTATTATAGTTCCGTGTTTCTTTTGTAATACAAATTTGTCTTCTCTCTATTTCCCTCTACTTCCGCTACAAGAAAAAAATCCTTAGATATATTTTTAACCAGTACTATTCGTTAATTCATTATTCAAGTGTAGTTGATAATCTAATTCGGGTATCTATGTTTGGGAATACGACAAAATACCACTTCGACATAAACAAGTCGCGTCCAAAAATAGGCAGAAACAACACAATCAGCCGAGCAAGTTTCTATGAGCGTGTTTGTCTGGTTTTCAGGAGACGAAGTGATAGAATGGAACGGAAGATCCCTACAGGGCAAGTCGTATCAAGAAGTTGCAGATATAATAGCTGAGAGTAAACAGGAGGCGAATGTTGAACTTATTGTCTCCAGGAGTATGGGTAGTCGAAGAATTGCCCAGGCCAACTGGAGGCAATCTGTTGCTCACAGAGGTATGCCCCGACGACAAGATACATCAAACGATCCGTTTCCTTCTGAAACAATCAGATCTCAAAATTAGTTTTTTTATGTCTCATATAACGAAAATAATGTAAATGTTCTCATGAAAGTTAAAGTTTCTTATCAATAAATCTGAAAAATGAACTTGTTTATTTAATTTTAACAAAGGAAATATTCTAAAACATGGCAAATTGAAATAAGATATGAGATATATAATTTTAAGCAAAAAGTTTCCAATAGAAAGACAGACAAATGCGTAGTAAAGAATGCTACAGGATGATAACGGTGCACCGCCAAAAACACAGTTTTTAAAATAACTCTGAAATGACCTAACAAATCCATATGTAACCCAGCATATCGACTGTGGATTGCAACAATTTTTTGGAGGAATCATTTATTCTTCACATGCAGTTGCGGTGGTGTAAGGCGTAATTGACGGTTTTTCTATTAAAAAAATAATCTATACTTTGGGTAAAATAATACATTTTACAGAAAAAAAACCCCAAAGACATGGAAAAAGGCGTTTTGGTTTGATGTCGATAATCTGCGCAATTTGCGAGAAACAGACAATAAACCATTATATTTTTCATACAAATTGAAATTAGTAAAACTAGTAAGAAAATTATTATTTTTTTAATCTTATCAACTGAGGAGCAATAATGTGAGAAGTCTTGTCTGTAGAGTTACATATCTTTTACCTACCCAGATTTTTGAATTAGTTTGTATAATACCTTCAAAATAAGGTAAAATACATGAGATCTAAAAATAGAATACCCATTTTTTAAAGAAAATTGGTGTTGGAATTATATAATGTTATATTTAAGACCCTTTGAAATTTAGGAATTAATTAAAGATATGTAAACTCATATCTGGGGAATAGTGTATTGGCAGCGCCAATGCTTTTATCTGTTTTTATTTATTTTCGTTTGTTTAATATTGTACTACTAATCGAAATAAATGAAATAGACCCTTGAGTTTGGAAATCGATATTAAGAAAACTCAGGGGCGAAAAAATTTTAAATTTGAACCATATATAACCTCATTTCAGTTAGTTTCGTTATCCCATTTTTTAGTTATTAATGAAAATGTTAAAAAAATTACGGTTTTCTGCCTACAAAATTGATACCTCTCACTTTAATTCGTCGTATTTTTTTTATTAATTGATAAAAAATTACAAATGTTTACTTTTTCGATAAATCGAACTATTCGAGTCTTTAGTACTGTGAAGGCCATTTGTCTCAAAAGCTCTTCTTTTTTTTATTTTTAAGCAAAACCGAAGAGAGCGCTATCTCCGTATACATTGCGTTCTTAAAAAAAACTGACACAGTTAAACTGAAATTTTAACACACAATAGAGTAACAGCGGGGCTATATATGGTCCAAATTTTAAATTTTTTCTATTTCATTTCTGTCCATAATAGTGAAATTTCAAAACAATTCACGCCTGTGCATAAACAAGTTCATTTTCAATTTCTTTTGGAATGTGGAGATTATCGATATCAGTCAACCTGTCTGACTGTTAAGATAGTCTTTCAGAAAAGTGCTTTATTTTGCCGAAAACCCTCATTTTGATCTGAGAAGCCATCTGGGGCCACTGACGAAAAATATGTTTTTCGAAAGTTGTCGATAAAAGTTTACTTTTACATGATATTTATTTGATGTCAAAACAGCAGTTTTTTGTCTACAAAACGTAAAAGAATTACATCCACCTTCAAAATCAATGAAATTATAAATGATACAATCAGCTTCACCAGTTTATTTATTAATGTTAACAAATTCACAAATTATAACAATCATTAATAATAATCAATTTACCAGGTAATTAAAGGATATTAAATATTAAAATATGTACGATAAATTGAATACATACCTACTACATGTTAAATAACTTAATTTTAAATGTAAAAATTTTTTCATCATATTTTTAATAATTTTTGAACTGTGGGATACAGTTTTCGAAAAAATTTTGTTTGATACTAGATTGCGAAATTCTTCTCGAATGCAAAATGGCATATCGCAATCTAACATCAAAAATAACTATTTTGGCAGTGCGTCTTTATTCCTCTAGCTTTTTTTCACTTAAAATAAAAAATCCTATATCTCCGTTTAACTTTGAAACCAAATTTTTAGACACCACTCTGTATATACTATATATTGTCTCTAATGCTAACGAAATTATATATTTTTGTAAATGACGACCTACATTAGATGAATTAGTTTCACATTTTGTTTGTCCAAAACTAAGCAACTTATCAAACTGAACAATTTATATTTCACAAAGGTTCAAAGGCATTTCGAAACATTCTGTATAGGTAATTTCTGAAAATTGTAGGATAGGTTTATTTTGACGTCAGGAGACAATGACCCAGATTATTAAAATAAAGCAATATGTTGGTTTAACCAAATGGATTATCTTATCTGAGTGATCTATTGGATGCATGTTTGAAATAAGTGCTTTATTTTCACTGCATTTAAAATATATCGATCAGGTTACAAATATGTCAAATAGTTACCTAAACTGCATACATTCTATATGAATAACATGTTCATCTTTAATAGCACTTAAAAATTTAAACCCTTTACATCAAACTTTCCAGGAATAGTGGTAAATATATATTAGAGCTGTAGAAATTTCATTGTTTTTTAAATGAAAAAAATTTTTTTTTCAAACAGAAAATCTTTTTTAATATCATGTTCAAAATACGAAACACTGGATTGTGTAATATTACATAAATGAGAAAAATGAATCAAATATTAATGATTCCTGAAAAAAATATATAGTAGCTTGATAATGTGTTTTGCCAGAGGGAGCGAAATGGATCGTTTGAGCTGCTAGGTTACGAGCACAAAACACACTGCTATTTACCACCAAAGCATTTTATCACAAACACATTATCTTACACAAAGTTTTCCTTTTTTATCTTATAACTGTTTACGTGTGGTTGTCTGTGTTTATGTCCTTTCCTTCTTAGTTAGAGGTAGTTATCTGTAATGGGAGCAACAACTGTGTGTGTTTCGGACTCGTACCGCAATCTTAGTGTTCTCGATGTCACATGTCTGTCCATTTCTATTTGTTGTCTTATTTCGTTGTTTTATTATAGTTATACTCTAGAAAGATACCGCATTTTTAACTGCAATTCGAAGTATTTACAATTTAAACTCTAATCAAACGCTTAGATAGATAGTCACCTAGATAGATGAATAGGTAGATAGATAGATATTAATCCTTGGCATATTATGAACAACTTTAAATGTATCGAGTTAATTCAAATTAATTCTGATAATTTTCCTACTATTCTTTTCAAATTCATTTATGCAAGGTGTAAAAAGGTGCACAGTCAAACTGCAACTGTGGATTCTACGTCATACATTAACGACAAAAAAAGTTAATATCAACACCTGCTTTATAAACATTTTGTTTGTACCTATTTTATTGACAAGGCAAAGAGAAAGACAAAGCGCTTCTTTAAGAAATAAATCGCCAAAGCTTTGTCTTATTGGCCTATCAAACAAATGCTATATTTCTAGTAACTTTATAACTAACGATATTGGAAAAACATACTACTTAGACTAATGCCCCGATTAGCAGCACTGAATTACATTCAAAACAGTTACGCTCATGCGTCAGAACAACCAGACATATACTGGGTTCGAACTTATTCATTTTCATCTACCTACAACATAAAGCCTCATAACTGTGGCGTCATTTCTTGTTGTTAGTGACGTCACTACAAAGGGTAATTTCTCAATCGTAGGCGACAAAAGTATGATTTTTGTAGGCTACCTTAATTCAATTACCTATATCGGTAAATGTTAAAAGATTAGTTATATTGTAAAACGCGATTTCAAATAACATAACGTATATATTTTTAATATTACCTCGTGTTACTTTAGCAATTTAAATCAATTTATAAATTTGAGGTTAAGACTGTGATTTAATTTCTATAACTCATATGTCTTTTAAAAATAGATAGGCGTGAAACTTTCTGTTCAATAAAAAATGTGCGGAAACGCTAATGCTACAATATCTTTATGTATCAGAATGATAAATATTTTTATCAAAATTAACAAAAGAGAGTTGCTTGATTTACTCAAATCTATGATCACAGAAAAAAGGTACTTTTGTAGCACTTTTGCTGATAGCAAGAGACACAGTATTAAGACTTCCAGTGTAGGCGTAATAATCACTCATCTGAATGCCAAAATTGTGTTGCTCATATTGAAAATGTTCATTCAAATACATACATAGTGCATTTATTTTACACATTTATACGTTCATATCGCCAATAGTACGAGAGATTTATTATTAATACAGGTGATTATTTTTATTATACCTAGTAATCATGATTGTTTTATTGTTGCAATAATTGTATTAAAAAGTATGTAATGTAGGTATACGAATGTATTAGGTATTATATACATATCTAGGTGAACATAAGTTCATTTAGTATTTATATATATTTAAAGTAAACTCAACCTTTTAATTATTGTAGATACAATACATCTAATTAAGTACAATTTACTTCGTCAGTTCAAAACGTCCTCCTGCTGAAGAGAAAAAAATTCGAGTTAGCTATTTTCGTAAATCTATGAATGTATTGTCTGATGTAATAATTTTTGGCATAGTATTCGTATCTTTCTTTATTTATTGGATATTTTTCCACCTGAAAAATTGCAAAAGTTAAGGAAGTAAACTCAATTTTTATAAAAATACTCTAACCAAAAATCTCACATTGAATAGAGTAGACAAATACAAAATATTAATATTTATAGATGCATTTTCGAAACTAACAACTTTTTGAATTTCGTAATATGGGTTACTTTTTAATTGTCTAATACAGGCAAAAATCTATGCAGAGTTCTATGCCGATCGCAGATTTCTTCTTTAAATTTAGAGTATTCCGAATAGTTCCGAAGATATTCGAAGGAAACCGATTTCGTTTTTTATTCGTATTTCACTTGTTTTTCAAAATCTTAGGACAAGGATGTGTAGTCGAATATTAAAAGATGCGTGGAATCGACTTTTGCTGCCAATATTTACATATCTCTAAAAATTTATGCTGAGCGGTAGTTAACTTTTGCTTTTGTTATGGGCGCCATATTGAATTTTTGCCTCATTAAAAAAAAAGGAAATTTCGTTAATAACGATGTATAATTTATAGGGTTTTCATAAATAAATATTATATTGAGTATATAAATTAATTTAGTATTTCTTAGTTTTAATACTTTTTAACACCTTTTATTTACGTAACAATAATGTTAGCAACTAACAAAACAAAGATAAAGCAAAACAAAATTGAACGGTGAATTTAAATTTTATCACAAATGTTCGAAGTGCATACCACTACACCTCTGCATTCGTTCATGAATACTCTGAGTAGCAGATTGTCATGACAGGAGGTATTGAGTTTATCGCTTTTGAAATATTTATTCTCAATTCTTCCTCATTGTCGTATCGCCTTATGTATAGCTGATCCTTTCTTCATCTTCTTCATCTTCATCTAGTGGTTGGTCCTTTAAAAGTCCCATAGCACTGCGGCCTAATTAGGCCTATTGTGCGTCCCACTACTAGTCCTATTCAGCAAGTAGATTTGTCCTTTTTACAAAGTCCAAAAGCTTCCTTGCTGACACTTCTCTCAGCTCCTTGGGTTCCAAATAGGGTCTCCCAAGGAGCGCCATTCTGCTACGTGCAAATCCCGGGCACTCGCCCAGGATATGCAGAGAAGTTTCATCCGCCGATTCACATCCTCGGCAGACCGGACTGTCTACAAGCTTTAGTCTATGTAGATGTTTCCTAAAGTGACAGTGTCCCGTTATGAGTCCTGTCACTCTCCTGAGCCGGATTCTATTCAAGCTCAGTAACTCATTCGCTCTTCCATTCGAAGGATACTCCATAAGCTCCTTGGAATGGCTATGTCCTGGCCTTGAAGTCCAGTATTTCCTATGTTCTGTCTCTGTCCATTTGCCCATAGCCCGCCTGACCACACTGGGAGATGTGCCACAGAAGGGCTCCGGGCCAATGAACACTGTTTCGGATCCCTTCCTCGCAAGTTCATCCGCTTTCTCATTTCCACAAATGCCTTTGTGCCCTGGCACCCAACACAGTCTGACTGTATTGTTGGTGGCCAGTTCAGTTAGCATTTGTAAACAGTCCCACACCAGTTTTGAACTTACCTTGTGTGCGGCTAAAGCTTTAATTGCAGCTTGACTATCAGAGAATATATATATGAGTTTACGTCTATAACCTCTACGTACATTCTCTGCCAGACACGCCATTATCGCGAAGATTTCTGCTTGGAATACAGTAGGGAACTCCCCCAGACTGTAGCTTGCACTCCATCTGGGTCTGAGTCCATATATTCCTGCACCCGTCCCTCTGGTCATTTTGGAGCCATCTGTAAACCATACTAGGCTCCACCTTTCCAGGGTATTAAACCTTTCCTCCCACTCGCTTTGATCCTCTATTCGAGTCTCAAATGGCTTGTGGAAGTGAAACTTTGGAACCATCTTGTCGGATACCATCCCAAGAATTGGTTCCGACATAGATGTATCTTTGATCCTGGAGTGGGAACCACCCCTCCAGTCATTATTATTCCTGAGTCGATATGCTGCTAGCCGCGCTTCTCTCTCCACCACTATATGCAGCGGTGGCAGATTTAGCATGACTTCTAGTGCAGCTGTCGGGGTCGATGCCATCGCCCCCGTTATACCTAAACAGGCCAATCTCTGAATTCTATTCAGTTTTTCCCTCGCTGTGGTCTGTTGTGTTTTCTGCCACCATACCATAGCGCCGTAAAGAATCCTGGGTCTTACTATCGACGTATACAACTAGTGTAACATCTTTGGTTTCAGTCCCCAGGTTTTCCCAATAAGGCGACGGCATACGGTGCGGTCATAAGCTGATCCTTAACATAACCATAAAAGAAAAAGTCCATGATGGTTAAACTTTTCGACAGTCAAGTAAAATGGATCACCCAGTAATGCACTTCGAAGATTTGCGATACCATTTAAATTTATTATTTAATTTTGTTTATTTTATCTACTTTGTTTTATTAGTTGCTCTTATTATTGTTATGTAAATAAAGGTTGATGTGATAAAAGTTTTAAAAATAAGCAATATTAAATTAATTTATAGAAAAAACATCACATGGCTGTTTGACTTTTTTATTAAAATTATAACTATATTCAATATCTTAGTTATTTATTTATGAAAATCCTATAAATTTTACATAGCTATAAAGAGAATTTTTAGAGACATGTTAATATTGACAGCAAAAATCGATTCCTCACATCATTTAAGATCAGACTACACATTTTTGCTTTAAGAGTTTGAAAAACAAGTGAAATACGACTAAAGAAAGAAATAGTGTAAAATCGGTTTTCTTGGAATATCTTTGGAACTATTCGGAATTTTCTAAATTTAAAAACGAATCCATGATCGGCATAAAATTCTGCACATTTTTACTCATTTAACCATTTCTTTTTCTCCTAAAATAAGAAAGGGTATTGGGCAATTAAAAAGATAACCCTGTCTATACATTGATGTGTATTTTGTATTTGTCTACCTTTTTTCAGGGATTTTTGATATTTTCATAAAAAACAGGCAACAAAGTATCCAAATAAATAATGTATATTAACAACACAGGCCGACAAAAAAAAATCGTGTTTTTGAGACGTATCTTTAGTAAAAGTTTCCGCTGAATTCGAAAGTTACGAAAAAAATTATGAGGTATGGATTCCTTCCACACACCCTTAATCCTCCCCGAAAAATAAAAAAATCCAAACTGCCTCTGCAACCTACCTATGTTTTGTAAAATTCGTTGAATCCGAAAATGGCAAAAAAATAGTTTGGACGTGAGGGACCCCCCTACTCATTTGTATCTCTCACTTGCTTCTTTCGAAAATAAAAATAAATACAAATTAGACGTGGCAACCGTTATAACTTTTACAAAATCTGTCGGTAAAACTCAAAGCTAAAAAATATTTGTGAACTAAACGATTCCTTTGCTCGTACTCTTAGCCTCGCCCCCATATAGCATTTACAAATAACGGTTTCCACGTCTGATCTGTATTTATTTTTATTTTTGAAAGAAACAAGTGCGAGATACGGATGAGTAGGGGGTTCCTCAAGTCCAAACAATTTTCTTGCCATTTTCGGATTCAGCGAATTTTACTAAAGGTAGGTACGTTGGATAGCTAGTTTGGGTTTTTTTTATTTTTGAGGGGAATTGAGGGTGTGTGGGGGAATCCACACGTCAGAATTTTTTTATCATTTTCGGATTCAGCGGAAAATTTTACTGGATAGGTAGGATCACGTCTTAAAAACACACAATTTTTTTTTGTCGTCCTGTGTAATGTTTCGATATTCGCAGAAGAAGTCTCATACGTCACTGTCAGCGGCAAATTTAAACTTCTTCGGAGTCTAATTAGAGTGTTAAATAAAAACTAAATGTACTTCTGCGTGCTCTGTTCAAGATCTATTTATTTTTAATCACTTCACTTTAATTCACTAAAGAGACCCATTGAGGCCCTTAAGCGTTTGGTTAGAAAATTTCGTCGGTTCCGATGCCGGACAAAAAAAAAATATTATCCATCGACATAAGACGCACAGCTGCACCAGCACTCTTCACTGATCCCTAATCTCAGGTCAAAGCGGTGGACAGTGGCATCCAGAAACAGAGATTTATGAGCGTCCCCACGTTCTAGTCACGTCGCCGGGCAGTCCGGAGCGACAGGAACCGGCACAGGCTCTGGCACCGAGCGTCGGAGGGCGCGTCCAGATCCGTCTGGGGTTCGACCCCTCCACACTGCAGCTACTGGTGACGATTGTGTGCGCCTCGGGCCTCACGCCAAGATCCCCCCAGCAACCGAGGAACCCCTACTGCAAGCTCTTCCTGCTGCCCGACAGGTCGGAGAAGAGCAAGAGAAGGACCAGGACGCTGGCGGGTATGTTTCCCAATTTTTAATCACTTGCAGTTTTAGTTTTACTAGTGCTTTACTCGTATTCTGTTACTATATAACCATTTTTATACTTTTTATTGTATATGCTACAAAAATTTTCAATTGACTTTCTATAATCCTTGTAATCATTTTGAGCATTTTTTTAAATTCCCTGTTTTTTTCATTACATTAATACCGTATATTTGCTTCAATAGTTTACACACTATTTTGGTATATTTAAAAGTCAAGATTGCCATGGATGTAGTGTGTGTATTTCTTCCGCTGTTAAACAATTTTTTAGAGTCTTGGAAAAATATTTTATTGTTCCTTCAATCTGTTACAGATAAAGGACAATGATTATATTGATAGTATTAATTTAATAAGTTACTAGGTCGTTCTTTGTTTATTTTGTCTTCCAGAGTCCCACGTAGCAAAAGCTACATAGAGTAAAAGAGTTAAAAGTATGCATAAGCCACAGTAATACAATGTGATAGTCCAATCACGTAGCAATAGTTGCACCTGAACCTAAACAAGTTAAAATGATTATTTTATTATTTTTGTAGTATTAATGGAGGAAAAAAAACATATTTTCGAGTGTTACGCTTCCTGTTCTATAATAATTCCATCCTGCTCTAAATAAAATACTCTTTTAACACTTTTATAAACGGGTAATTTTATGATACATAGGAAGTCCTGATCTTACCTCCATGTAGTTCTTGCTATGGGATACTCTAGAAGATAAAGTAAACAAAGAAGGAGCTGGTATTTGTATGTGGCCTAATAAAGAAAATTATCTTTTGTCTGGAACAAAATAATCGAACAAATTTTTATAATAAGATACTTTTCCAATAATTTAAAATATACTTTAGTAAATGTAATATCAAAGAAGAAGCACTGATTTCATGGCAATCTTGAGTTTATCCGTTGTGAATAGTCAGAAAATAAATAAAAATATTTTGTATATGATCGAAGTAAGCTTATGATATGCATATATTGCTGTATTCAGGAAAAGCAGAGGAATAAAATAAATATAAAAAGTGTTCCATTAAAAAAAACATTTGCTTTTCTAAAAACTTACAACATTCAAGTTTTCTTTGATATCGCAAAAAAATTTCTAAAGATTTCAATAATTTTGCAAAGCAACATGAAAACTATTATTTGATTTTTTAACTATCTTAAATCTTTAAAAATTTAATTTTCGGAAATATAGCATTTTCTACATGGTGGTCCTGATGTCATTGCCGAAACTCAATCAGGTGATACACAAATTATTTTAAGCAAAATGTTTCATATGCACATTTTTGTTGTTTTGATATTATTTCAGGAGCTACGAGTAGAAAATTGAAAAATCTACTCCAACGATTTTTTGGACTTTTAACACATTAAGTTGTATTTAAAGTCATATTTCTAACAAAAGTATCCATAAACATCTTTATTTACGGTGTAAATTTACTAATTATTATTTTTGATTTATTTAATTTAATTTAATTTAATTTAATTAAAAAATGGCTCGTTCTTCGAACAAAATACAAGAAATTATTTTTCTTAGAAATTCCATTGGTAATAAAAACCACTAATCGAATTTACAGATTAACCATTGGCGTCGAAATTCTGGGGTTCTTACTGGTACCGACTTTGGCTCTTACTAATTTGATTTAATTTTTAATTCCAGATTTAATTTGATTAGTTCGTCTAAGGCCTTGTTATTTTATAAATCATACATTTTACAAGTTTTGTTCCAAATATTTATGCATTTTGTACTACCAAGTATAGATAGTGTCCAATATCAATAGCTTCTCATTAAGCATGTTCCGAAATTATTCCAATTTTTTTTAATATTAATATATTTTTTAAGAATGTTCATATTTTCGCTGCTCATCTTATGTAATTCTATCTCCAACGATTACACATTTATCTCCTCACTAAATTTGTAATCTGAAAATGATCTTTCAAAGATTTCTAAGGTATTTTTTCCAAATACGAGGTGCCACAGTTTGAAAAAATAACGATTTTTTTATATTTCATGAATTTAATTTTAAATTCTCTGTAACTCTAATTAACTTTTTAAATATTTCTGGGGAAAACCCGTCAAGTAAATGGAGTGAAAAGTTGCATTGGAATCTTTTCTGAAACTGGATATTTTAACTAGTTCCTGAAATATTATGAGAAAAGTAGGTATACAAAATTTGTCATTTATTTATAAAGATAATTTAGTCAAATTCGGTTAGAAATGTCTCAGCTATTTTTACATACAAGAGAATTGCTTTATCGACACATATTGAAATGACAGTTTCTTTAAGGAAAAGCATTGTATTTATCGATAAAAATTATTAAAAAGTTTCAATTGACTTTTGACGTCTTTAAATTCATAATTCAAGTGAGACAATATGATAAAATATTTACAGAAAAAGTCCATGCAAAATGCAGCTATTACTTTGACTGTTTCTATTTGTGGGTCTTAAGCTCAGATTAATTCACTCTTTGATTACTGACTACCACTTCAGTTGGTTAATCCACAATACAAACTCCAGTTGCCATTTCCTCTGGATCGAAGAGAGATATTTTAGTTTTATAAACTATCAAATAGCTTAAATTTTTGGAGTTACGCTAGACCTAATGTCGATCCCGATAATATGAGATAGTACCTTTGAAAATTGCATTTTTTCAATTAATGAAAATTTTCAAATACACTTCACATTATTTTTCCATTGCTAACATGACTCAAAAAACTGATTAATGCAATTAATTTTGTTCAGTTAATTGAAAAAATGCAAAGAAATATATTTTCCGTTTTCTAGTTTCCTTATAGCACAGAAAAAATGTATTAAATCTTAAACAGTTTTAATACTGTTGACAAGTTAGGTAATTCATAAAGAAAATACAACTAACTACAATTTGTATAACCATTACTAAAAATTGTGTTTAAAATGTTGTATTTAATTTTACATCTATTTTGTTAAATATTCTATTTTGTTATAGAATTAAATTAATGAAAATTACAAAAACGATACACATAAGTATATAAAAAATAGCATAATATAAACAGTAATCAGGTGTAGTCAACAAACGAATTAAACCTGACCACTTCTCATGTATTTAATATTTTGTAGCTAAGAAGTACCAATTGATACGAAAATAACTGACAAATCTAATGAAATAAAATCATAAAAGTTCATAAGTGTGACAAGGAACGTTTACTGTGCATATCAAGGACAGATCTATGTCAAAATTTGTTGAAAAATTTGTATAAACAATTTTAAAATGAAAACGCTTTATTTTCACAGTATATACTATTTTATGCTACAAACACAGGGCTACATTATTGAATTCAATAGGACATTATTATTAAATTTTACTCAATAAAAGTAATATATTTATTCTTTCTTTGTGCAATTATAGAAAAATACTTTTTATACATGACTACAATCGCCATAGCTTTTCCACAAATAGAGGACCACAATAATTCAACAATTCTTTAGAAGCAACATTTTCGGTACATATTTCAGGAACTAGTTGTAATATCTCTTAACTGATTGCAGGAATAGGTTTCAGAAAAATATTATAAACAAATTATAAAAATTGTTAAACATGCATTATCCAAAAGTTGATAGTTTCGGAACCACAGGGTGTTGAAAGTTAAAATTTTAAATCGTTTTTTTGCGATTATTCTGAAAATATGTAGGTTAGGAACTTGAAAATTTGTGAAACTATATTTTTTTAAGCGACGAATAAGATGCGTGTTGTAATTTAAGCGTTGCTCATAGAGGGCGCCACTTACGACCAATTTTACCGAAAATTTAGTTAATAACTTTTTACCTTGTATGTCTAACATGAAACTTGATTCAAAACCTGAAAGAGCAATCATTTTTCCATTAATTATGTACTCTTGTTTCATTTCGGTATCTCGATCCGTTTTCGAGAAAAATCGATTTAACGAACACTATGTTTTGATAATACGAGAAATTAAAAGCGAAACAAACCAAGTGTTTCTTCGTGTTATTACAACAATTAACAATAAAACAAATGAAATTCGTAATAATGATTTAAAGTCAGTGTTCGAAGAATCCACCGTTGACATTTACACACTTTACACAACGTTTTCTGAGAGATCTTCGAGTTTGAAACAACATATTGGGATTGCGTTTGACTTCGTTGGCAGCGATTTGTATTCTTTGCCACAACTCTTCACACGAACCAATAGATTCTTCCAAATAGAAAAATGAAGAGGATTGAAGTCCGGACTTCTGGGTGGCCAAGTAAAAATGCTTCCACGGCTTGAAGAAGTTCCACTTTATTTAAGAAGAGACATGTGGTTCATGCACGACGGAGCTCCACCGCATTTTTCTTGGCCAGTGCGTGCATATTTAGATGCAGTTTTTCCAAATCGCTGGATTGGCCATGTAAGCATTTTTGCTTGGCCATCCAGAAGTCCGGACTTCAATCCTCTTGATTTTTCTATTTGGTCTCGAATGAAAGATATAGTTTACAAAGAATCTATTGGCTCGTGTGAAGAGTTGTGGCAAAGAATACAAATCGCTGCCAACGAAGTCAGACGCAATCCCAATATGTTGTTTCAAACTCGAAGATCTCTCAGAAAACGTGTAAAGTGTATCAGTGTCAACGGTGGATTCTTCGAACAATTACTTTAAATCATAATTACGTATTTTATTTGTTTTATTGTTAATTGTTGTAATAACACGAAGAAACACTTGGTTTGTTTCGCTTTTAATTTCTCATATTATCAAAACATAGTGTTCGTTAAATCGATTTTTCTCGAAAACGGATCGAGATACCGAAATGAAACAAGAGTACATAATTAATGGAAAAATGATAGCTCTTTCAGGTTTTGAATCAAGTTTCATGTTAAATATACAGGGTAAAAAGTTATTAACTAAATTTTCGGTAAAATTGGTCGTAAGTGGCGCCCTCTATGAGCAATGCTGAAATTACAACACGCATCTTATTCGTCGCCTAAAAAAATATAGTTTCACAAATTTTCAAGTTCCTAACCTACATATTTTCAGAATAATCGCAAAAAAACGATTTAAAATTTTAACTTTCAACACCCTGTATTTCCGAAACTATCAACTTTCGGATAAGGCATGTTTGCGCCAATGGTCACCATTTCACGTGTAGTATCTCCAGCTTTCGATTTTCCCATTGTTAATGAATCACCCTGTATACGTCTCTAATGGTTTAGCTATCCCTGTAGCCTTCTGTTAAATAATTCTGTCCCGAAAACGAAACGGCATTCATAAAAAAATTGCTGCGTTGTTTTGAAATATTTGTGAAAAGTTCAAAAATGTATTTTGCTTCCTTTGTCTCATCAAAAGAGACAGTTGAAGGTATACCACTTGATTTCAAAGTGTTTTCAATTTTATTCATGTCATACCTCAATGTTCTATGTTTCAGGCACCACGGAGCCGATGTGGAACCAGACCTTCGTCTACTCGGGTCTTCGTAGAGCAGACCTCCGTCTCAGAGCTTTGGAGATCACCGTTTGGGACTACGTGCGGTACGGCGCCAATGACTTCCTGGGGGAGACCATAGTCGAGCTCTGGCCCCTCGACGAGCAACCCACTTGGAGGACCCTGGGACCCCACGAAGAAGTCGCGTTGACTCCAAGTGAACATCTGTCTCCTCCTAGCACGGGTTCGCGGTTCTCCGACAGCGACACGCCGTCCGAGTGCGAGATAGATGGTGGCAGGGAGCGAAGGGGTGCCGATGGTGCCAGTGTGAGTAGTGTGGGGAGCTCGGCGAGCCCTCCCCGAGAGACGGAGAGGAGGTCCAGGAGGGACCAGGAAATGCAGCCGTGCAATCAGGGATATAATAACAGGCGGGTGAGTTCGAAGCCACTTAATAGGGTCTAATAAAAAAGAGTATATCGATAGTATTAACCAATACAGGGTGTAGATTTCAATGTGAGTCATATTTATGCAGAGTGCCACCTTTCCGTTGGAGTCGCGTCCTGAAGATGTTGTGGCAGAAACGTCGGCTAGCACACAGTCGGAGCTGGTCGTGCGGTATTTAGAACTGTAAAGTTCAGGGTAACCTATCAAACACCTACGTTTCTCAAGTCACTCAAAATCCGGTTACAAAATTTTAAGTTTAAAAACTTACTCGGACGCTTATGCCAAAACCGGGAAAAAACAATGATTAAAATATTCAAAAAATATAAATTTAATAACACGTTTGTAGCATCAAAATTGGATCTTAGTTTCAACAATGAAAATGATAGTAACCATAAATATACTTGTGTGAAGATTCAACCAAATGACAATAAGTTATAAGTATAAACTTAACCGCTCGTGATCACGGGTGGCGCACAATAAAAAGATAATTATGAATTTTATAAATAGGAGATAATAATTTTTATAATTTACTTACATAAAAAAACAGTTGTAAAAAAAACATACAAGACAAAACTATAGGTTCTTACGCACATATATATGTATAGAAAAAAAAAACGACAATAGACGCATATCAAGACAAAATTAGATAAATGTCTTCATTGGTATGAACTATCACTCATAAGACCAAAAATAAAACGTATTTATATAGGTATAGATTTAGAAAAGTTGGCATAATAAATCCAATATAATTAAAGAAAAAAATATAACTAAAACTACAGCTTATCTGTGGATGTTCAACGTCGGGGTACAGCAAAATGGCGGAGCAGTTTGATGGGAGCCGGTATACTGCAACAGCTCCCAATTTTCCACAATTTCCCGATTCGCATGAATTGTAGGCCAGTCAGCAAGCATTCACCTTTCTGCTGCAACTGTTGGGTGTTGATATGTCAGGTAGAGAGGATGCACAATGCACCAGAGATGCACCATGTACTAAAAAGCCCTAAAATCGAGATTTACACCACTGTTAAGGTCTAGGCGGAAGGTAAAATAATGGACTCCCAAAAATTAAAATGAGTATAAATTACTCACATTATTTAAAAAATAGTTTTCTATTGATAATAATACGTTTGAGTGCCACTCTTATCATTTCTACTACAATTGCGTGATTGATTTGAGTTCTTAATGGTTAGTAGGTAGATTAAATTTGTGAGTGCAAATTAAAATAAAAAATTAGTAAGGAATGTGAGTTTTTTTGTGAACTTCGTTAAAAATTTTCAAAAGTATCCGGACCCTACCTAAAATTACTTGCCGACCCCTGGTCTAGTCGATCGCGGAAAACAACAAATATTTACTTACGTAGTTGGAGGGTGGCTTGGTAATGAGCTATAATAGTTTGTATAATTTATCTAGATGTTGAAAATGTGGGCAGATGTCTTTAAATCTAGCAATGTAGCCGAAACTATGAGCCGTTAGCACCGTTTCCAAACAATACGGTCACAGTTATAATACAATTTTGTAATATATCCCAAAGGAACACTTTAAAATGTTAATATCGACGAAAATTGCAATAATTCACCTGCTTCACACTTTAATAGCAAATTTTCTTCCTAAGAATGAAGTATATCGATATGAACGGTTTTTGTGTTTTGAATAGTCGCAAAAACGCTGTTCTATGAATATTCGAGACTACGCCAATAATTCTTAACAGAAATAACAAAAGTTAAATAATTTTTAACAAACAGGATTATTTAATTATAACTGCTTAACTTTAAATAATAATAAATATATACTGATTAACATTTAACATAATAAAATTAACGTTACAAGAGGCCACCTTTGATTTTTAGAAATAGATAGCATAGGTTTGTTTTTGAAAATTGGGAGGTGGAAAATTTGATAAGAAAACGAATTTTTCAATACCGCCCAAGAAGTACTGCTCTTTGGTACTTCACTTTTATTGAATGAGTGTTCGCCAGAAGCCCTATTATTCCACATAAACAAAAATAATTTTATTTTTTAAACTATAACATAGTAAAGAGTTAGCTAATAAAAAACTCAAACATTAATAAATAAATAAATAAATAAATAGACAAACAAACAAACAAACAAGCCAGCAAGGAAGCAAGCAAACAAACAAACAAACAAATAAGTAAAGGGAAATGAAATAAATAAAAATAAATAAATAATCTATTTACTTAACTAATGTTTACAGTATATGCTTAAAATCCTGCCCTCCTTGACGTACCAATTAATAAAATAAACACAACACTGTACTGTACGAATTATATTTCGTTTCCAGTAATTGCTAATACTTTACGCAAGAAGTAGCTAAATTACCTACTCCTAAACCTAAACTAAATGTAATAAAACCAAGCGGTGATGTATTCAACAATTCTCGTTTCGCGGAATTAAGGTTGACCGTTTATTTTTCGCTCATTTATTACTCAAGCATGATCAATCACATGGCTGCGAAATTATTGGTAAAACGGATCTAAATCGGACTTCACATCATAAAATGGTTTTCGTTCCATGCGTATCATTTGCGGCTTAATTGTGATGTTGTTTTGTAGTAATTTAAAATATCTAGCTCCGATTGGGCTGATGTAGTGACTGAATAAGAAAAGGAATAAAAGCTAATCGTATTTTGTTTATAATTGTATGAAAGTGCCTGCTTTAACTTCTTTAAGTGCGTCTCTGTCTACTTTTACGACCACATCGTGTCTGAGTGCAATTGTTTATGACTTTGGAATATGTAAAGTGACTGTAGTCTAGTTCACCTAAACTAAGTCAATATCAGAAGTCATTGAAGCTGAAATTAATAAACTTATAGTTAATTATAAAAACACTTATTAAAAACTTGAAATGATTTAAAAAAATATTTCAAATCTATTAGATTGATGAGCATTTTTAATTACTTTTCATTGTGTACATTTTATAAAACAGTAAAAATAATTATTTAAATATAAATTAGGTTTTCTTACAATCTCCCATTGCAGTTACATTTTCAGCAACACCGTTAGTCTCATGCAGTCGGCTGAAAAAAGTAACAACTGGAAATACTGATAAGCGCGTTGATACAATATATAATACGCGAATTATAAACTCGACTATTTGATTTAAAAACTAAATAATAATAATTTCAGATTAACATTCCTACAAAACAGACTCTCCACAGTTACACCCTGTATATATGTCATAAATAAATATATGCTAAAATATTAAGGAGATGTTTTTTTGTCGAAAATTAAGGAGGGTCTTTCATTTAAGAAATATATCTCCTTAAGGGAGGTTTTTAAAAGTGTTTTTGAGCAAAAAAATAAAGTATCGATCATATCGTCGTTGTTGTTTTGCACAAAAAGTAAATTAATAAAATTTGTATAAAAAAGCGCTCCAAGTAACAGTAATACCTAAGATATATATCATAACATAATTTAAGCATAATAATTTTACAAAAAAGTAGAAGAGACTAAATGTATTTCAAATGAATTAAGCTAATCGAAAACACATTTTGAAGTTACATGAGACAGAAAAAAATTAAGAGGGAAATTACTTCTAGGTTACATTTACCCCTTATTTAAAACAGCTTTTTTGATAGAAAGAAAAGTGTACACATTCATTTTTATAACTTGCTCATACTTATTTAAAGAAAAAAATAAAAAGTACATTTTTCTCTGCTAATTGAGGGGTCACTTTACCTCCGGTCCAGAAAATTGGGAAATTGAATACGTTAGTAACTAGCAGTACTTTTGAAAAATAAAAATATTATGGTCAAAAATCGATTTTTAAATGCTCACCGCTAAGAGCTAACATTTGTAGGACGAAAAAAATAAATAAATTTGTTACATTATATTGACCTGTTCATATGTCGTAGCCAGATTGCAAGGATTGTCTTTTTTTAAAACGCCTCGATAGTTTACATTAAATTTTGAAATAATTTCAACAACTACTTTAACATAGTATTTTAATATTATATTTATTTATGTACCTAACTAATATGAAAGAATAAAAAATAGGCATTTGCCATCAACAATAAGTTATATTTACCATCTAACAAATTATTAACTGAAAATTATACCTATTGAAACATTGGCGCATTCGCCATATTTTTAAATATGGGTATAATATAGGTTTTATTTGAGAAGCGTAGATTTAAATTTAAAAATTTTTGTAATTAAAACTTCACTAAAAATACATGAATTATTATACCTACCTATTTGTGATTAAACAATTTCCAGTAGTGAAACTGTAGGTTTTTTCTTTAACTGGAAGAGTCGTGGTATCATTTATTAAATTATTATACCTACCTATTTGTGATTAAACAATTTCCAGTAGTGAAACTGTAGGTTTTTTCTTTAAACACAGAAATCAGCCCTGAAAGTTTGTCGTAATATCAGGTTTGATTATTCTGGACCTCAAAAATGTTACCAATGAATTCTATATGTAGTTTAACCTTACTTAGGTACGTAGAGAGAAATATGTTGTAATAATACAAATACTGATATTAGTGCGTTGTTTCTAATCTGACTGTTACATTTTACATGCTAAAAATTCGGCTTAAGCATTTCAGCATACACGTCGTTTATCTTGCCAGATGTGAAAAGCTCATTAAATATACGGCATACATAGGACATACGAAATCTATAAAGTCCCTAATTAAGTGAATCGCTCAGAAAGCATCCACAAATAGCTAGGAGTACAATTACGCTTGAAACAACTGACAATACGCCGGTTCATCTATGTGCATTATGCCAGACAAGCGTTTTCCATAGAGACCTTAATTGCCTTGGTTATAGAGTACGTTCACATTTTCTTTTGTGATACGGGTAAATCTCATTCGCGTCGCAGTATGTGGGTCAATATAATTAACTTACTCATAGATCCCCAGAACACTGTAAACAATGTTTCCTATTCATAAGCCAAAAATATTTTGACTAATAATATTGCTTATGTATGCATGACAAGTTTAGAGAGAAAAAAGTATATTAATTTTCTCTTTATACTTGATTCTTAACAGAAATAATAATATTCTTGTAGTATATTCCGTATTTTCGAAATGACGTCATAGATCAGTGTCACGGATATTATGTACAACAATATTACTAGAAATTTAAGCTGTGAAAGTATAGTGCTCATGTACACTGTAAAATCACTGTTCAAGTAAAAAACGTTTTGCTAACTTATGAAAGGAGTTTAAAAACAATGATTTGATATTAACATGGTTATGACAACTGATGATTTAAATTAAGTTTATTACAATGAGTCAGTCTCTAACTAGTATGCGAAATGATAGTTCTAAAATAATAAATAAAGAAAAAAATAACAACACGGAAACTAAAGACTACCAAATGCTACCTGCAGTGAGACTAGTGCATATGACGTCACTTTGCGTAACGGACCACCAGATGGCGGCGAAACACGTTTGCCTGTTGAGGGTTAGGTTCCTTGATTTATTTGCTTCAGTACGGTTTTATCACTTTTATCTGACCTTTTTTTATGTCATGATGGGGAACCTAAAAACCAGTAAAAAAAAGAGCAGAATAAGTGGTATTTTATTTGTATGGGTGTATAAATACAACAATAAATAATGATGATGATAATAATGATAATAATAATAATATACATTAATTTTGAAAATCTTAGGCAGAAGTTCACACAAAGTGTGCTCTGCCATTTAGCTCTTGAATACATAAATACCTAAATTACATACACTTAAAACATTTAGGTATAAAATAAAAAAACAGATTTATAGCAGTTTAAAAGAATATAGTGTCTGTGTATAAGTATAAATTGGACGACAGTAATATAAAAATAAGTAAAATTAGGTAAACATAAGAAAAAAAGGACATTATTAAATATTCATAGATATTAAAAAGACCACTTAATAATGCGAATTTTTTTTTTATTATTTATGTTGAGTTAAAAGGAGAAGTATCGTGAAATCAGCATGAGATAAATATTTTTATGTTCAATTCTCATTAGTTAATAATAGTTTTTTTTACAAAAGTTTTAAATTTAATTATGCTGAAGAATGTCATATTTAAAGAAAACTTATTGTAACTTTTATACACGTCATATGTAAAGCCTCTTTCAAAGAAAGCAATCTTACGATAAGGCTGAGTAACTAATCCTTTAAATCGAATATTTATAGAGTGGACTGCGGCAAGAAATTTTATTATAAAAAATAAGGAGTTTTATGCTAATACATTACTTATTAGTTTATGAAAAAAGCACAGTAAATAAAAATGTCTTCGATTTGTTATGTTCAACCAGTGCAAGTCTACTTCAACCAGAGAAGGTGTTTATAAGTGTACCATCTAAGGCACTTTTCCTTAACGAATCTTTTCAATAAATTTAAGGATCGCTTAAAAAAGAGTTATTGGTGACGTTGTAGTATAACAACCCCGGGTTTGATCGAATATTTATAGTGTGGACTGCGGCAAGAAATTTTATTATAAAAAATAAGGAGTTTTATGCTAATAAATTACTTATTAGTTTATGAAAAAAGCACAGTAAATAAAAATGTCTTCGATTTGTTATGTTCAATCAGTGCAAGTCTACTTCAATCAGAGGAGGTGTTTATAAGTGTATCATCTAGGGCACTTTTCCTTAACGAATCTTTTCAATAGATTTAAGGATCGTTTAAAAAAGAGTTATTGGTGACGTTGTAGTATAACAACCCCGGGTTTGATCGAATATTTATAGTGTGGACTGCGGCAAGAAATTTTATTATAAAAAATAAGGAGTTTTATGCTAATAAATTACTTATTAGTTTATGAAAAAAGCACAGTAAATAAAAATGTCTTCGATTTGTTATGTTCAATCAGTGCAAGTCTACTTCAATCAGAGGAGGTGTTTATAAGTGTATCATCTAGGGCACTTTTCCTTAACGAATCTTTTCAATAGATTTAAGGATCGTTTAAAAAAGAGTTATTGGTGACGTTGTAGTATAACAACCCCGGGTTTGATCGAAAAAAATAAACGTAGTTGTGGCCAAAAGTATGTGATCGTCATAAGGAATATATACGTTGTATACATCTATTTTTAATTAACCGAAAGGCGCTGGCTACTAACTTTAAAGAAGGGAAGTATGGTTTAATTTTATAAAACATAAGCAGAGTAAATACACCTAACCTATGACAAATAGAAAGAACAACAAAAACATTAACAATCATTTAACATAAAATGAGAGTGCCAGGCTCACCTAGAGCTCCTATGGGGAAAGAGCATGACAGAGAAGCCCACGATCGATCGTTGCTCTAACTACCCAAATATAAATACAAAACAACCGCTAACCAAAGGCATAAATTAGGATCCTTTGCTAATCATAAATAAGACCTGACTCATTTAATGTGTTACTAAATGTCATCCCACTCAAATTAGACAGACACACTTCCAAGTAAAACTGAAGAAGTTTGGTGTTAGTTAGCCGGCAGGGCCGGAAGGTACTGGAGTCCGATACGGGAGGCAATCCAGCTATGAGTTGAGATTGCGGAAGATCTGTTTCAGCAACTCTTTTTTTGTTTTTAATTATTCTTTTTACAGATTCATTCCTCACGGGCGAAAATGTTAGTAAATTCTACAAGGCTCTTATATGCGTATGACACAAAGTGAGCACAAGAAACTCTTTATTATTTGTTTTTCGGACAATATAATCATGATAAAAACAAGTTAGATGTGAAACAAAGGAGTTGTTATTGCAATATCTGGGCAGTCACGACAATATACATATTTTAACATGTAATAAATAATGAGCAATCGTTAATAATAATTGTAACAATTTTACCTTAGAAAAATGTATGCCATTGAGCATAAAGCAATGGTGGCTAAACATACAAAGAATTATTATCATGAAACATCTATAACCATCACAATTATAAGATTACATAGAACAATTAACAACAAAGTACTTAGAGAATAATACCTGCTAATTAATACGAGTTAAACACTTTGATTTTTCACTATTTTGTTACACTGCCCGCCGATCGTCTTACTCCACACTGTTCCCACTTCAACTTTTTAGGCTTCCTTCCAGAATTCCCCACCTAAGCGTTTGTTTTTGCGCTTCCTTCCATCAACTGTCAATATTACGTTTTCATTATTGTACAACACCCACGTAACAGGTGACGTTGAAGTTGATACGATAAGTATGGTTTTGAACAACGTTACTATTTATCAGTTTTTCTTTTCATTTCTTTGTTTTTTAATTTATCAAACCACAGTCTAATTTGATATTATTTAAAATAATTCCAATAATCATAGATAGAATTAAAAATAAATCAGTGTGTTCAAGTATCTGATATTAATTCAGTTATTAGTTTCCAGAACTCGTCGATGAGTAAGTGACATCAAATCTAGATGAAAAACAAATTTCTTTCTTGAAAACCAATGATATTAGAAAAAATATTGGTAATTGTTTTAATAAAATTTAACCACCGATTATGCAACTTTTTCGCATTCCTGTTTCCGACTTAGCGAAGCTATTATATTTCATTTATATATAATAAACTATAGATAGTAATTACTACTTAGTTATATAAAACTGTGCTTACAGTTTCACTTTTACATCTAATACAAGAAACTACAATATGAATGACATAACAGTACACAAACGTCGGTAAAGGCAAATTTGGAAGATTATTACATAAAACCCCCAACATAACCACTAATTTTCGCACATTTTCCGCATTGTGACGTCATAAAGCGTTTTGATATTGATATTTCTTTGGATTTTTTATGGTCCCAAAACTTTGCAGACTATTTTTAACCTTTTAAAGAGAATTTTATTTTTTATGAACGTCTTTATTGTTGTTGCGCGACGGGGATAACATTCTGTGTGTTCTTTTCGTAGGGCGGCATGGCGAAAGAGCGCTCCCACTCGGCGGCCCCCTGCGACTCGCCCAGCATACACATGTCGAGGTCTCGGTCGAAGTCCCCGCGGCGGTCGACCACCGACCACCGCTCCCTGTCGCCGCCAGACGTCCGGCTGTCCGAATACCCGCCAACCACCTACAAAATCTCCCGCTTCCAATCCCGGTCGGCCACCGCTACGCCGACGGGGTCCCCTAAGAAGCGACAACTTCCCCAAGTGCCACACGCCCTAGCTCGCGCTTTGCAGGAGCGGGTTGCCCAGGACCTGGACGACCGGTCCAACAGGAACAGCAGGATGAGGTATGTCCACACGTACAGGAGCACGGGCTCCGGCTGGGAGCGCCGGTACAGTGGATTAAGTGATAGTGACCTCGCCAATCACACCCGGTCCACCAGGAGGTCCTTCTCTCCGGAGAGGGACAGAGACAGGGACCCTTTAGGACTCGTTGACTTTGACAGTGATATGGAGTCGGTGGCGTCGGTGACCAGCAGCGCCTTCTCCACGCAGTCGGAGAGGCCCAGGGGCACAACGAGGACCGTCAGGTGAGAGTTCGTGCAAATATTTGAGAAAGATTTTTTTTTTAATTTTGCCAATAATTAAATTAAAAAATTCTGGGTCACAAGGATCAATCAAAGGTTATTTTTAGTCCACAGAGTGGAATCTCTGGTATTGAATTCAAATAAAAATTTTAGCGCTACTGATACTACAATTTTCACCACAGGTACTTATTAATTTACCTTAATTCTTCTCAAAACAACATTTTTTTTTACTAAATTTGTCAATATTATAGTTTATAATCTGTTTTTTTATTTACTTTTATAGACAAATGAGTTATCATTTTTCTTCTTACATTTTAAGTTATTTTTATATTTTGTTATGTTATCTTCAACAGATTTGACACATTTTAGACTTTCTAAATAATTTTTTTAGAAGAAAAATTGAAACATGTTATTCGTCATTCCTGAATGTATTTTGTTTTTGAAAAATAGAGAAGTTGCATCATATTTTATATTCTTCTAATCGCAACCATATCGGATTTTTTCGCATGTCCATTTATCCAAAATGAAATTTTCTATTGGTCAAATATGTTGTTAAATTGTGAAAGAAATAATTTCTATACTTGTTTATTCGTTTTATTCTTTTGTATTTTTTTTTATTTAAATTTGTATTTTTTACACTGAAAGAAAAAAATGAAAATTTAAAAATATATAATGAAATTAAATAAATTCTTGCGCCAAGAGAAAACTAATTTTATAATTTTATTTTTGCACATGTTGACGTTTCTTTTTGGTGGAATCACGAATCTATTTTTTCAGTGCGAGATATTTTGATTAGTTTTGATTAAGCAAAAATAATACGAAAACAATTCCNCTGAATGTATTTTGTTTTTGAAAAATAGAGAAGTTGCATCATATTTTATATTCTTCTAATCGCAACCATATCGGATTTTTTCGCATGTCCATTTATCCAAAATGAAATTTTCTATTGGTCAAATATGTTGTTAAATTGTGAAAGAAATAATTTCTATACTTGTTTATTCGTTTTATTCTTTTGTATTTTTTTTTATTTAAATTTGTATTTTTTACACTGAAAGAAAAAAATGAAAATTTAAAAATATATAATGAAATTAAATAAATTCTTGCGCCAAGAGAAAACTAATTTTATAATTTTATTTTTGCACATGTTGACGTTTCTTTTTGGTGGAATCACGAATCTATTTTTTCAGTGCGAGATATTTTGGTTAGTTTTGATTAAGCAAAAATAATACGAAAACAATTCCTGATCATATTTTGTTTTTCAGTTATACATACCACTTTATGTATATTGTATTTTTTCAGTGGTAACATTTGTAATAAGCTCCTCAAATGAGGCCTATCTCTTAAGAATGGGCTACATTATTTACAATTTATTACAAAAAATTCTTTTTGCAACCAAATAAATCAATAAAACGTGGAAGAAAGTTTCAGATTTAATATATTTTCGAAAAATCGCTGGATAATGTCGAAAATATTTGTCGAAAATACAACTGCTTAGCAATTATTGTTAGGTAGGTACTATATTATGAATTTTATTATAAATATAAGAATTACGAAAACATACGTAGACACACAGCTTCGTTGTATCCGAGGACCACATTGTTAGATGAATCGCCTAAAATAGATTTTAAAGGGTAAATCTTTTTTATCGGAATAATGCGATTGTTCCAATCTTTATGGATGACCGATTTAATGTATTTCAAAAAAATTATTCTATGCAACAAAATTTGAAATTGGATTTCATTAATATGAATTTTTACATACAAAAGTAAATTGTATCATAGAATAAAGTTTATATAAACTTGGTCCAGAAACGCACTGTTGTCCATTTAAATTTTAAGAAAACAATTTTTGTAGATATTTTAAGAACAATGGCTTCACAAATTTTGATATGGTTAAACCTACATTTGATATTTACAAACTCATATCACTCATTCTTTACTGTAGTTCGTAGTAACATTAATATTTGTGCATATCTAAGGCTTTTTTCTCGAGTGAAGATGCTTCCTCCATGTACTACACCTATCCTCTAAAGTTTTCATAGATTTTGAAGTAAATTGCATAATAATTATTGGACTTTTTATTTACTTTAAATATTAAATATTTCGACGAAATAAATTGCGAATGGAAATAACCGTATCCCCGACACTATCCCTTTAAAAAAATTATGAAATATACCTCATGCCAAGTTACAAAATTTGATTGACTTGAAGAGAAAACGTAATGTACGTATGATTATTTCAGTATTTTTATCTGACAGTAATGAGTGAAATTAAACTATTTTACTATAAAATGATGTATATGGAGAACTGAAGGGAACAAGTCTAATATTATTTACAGTAAAGTAAATGAATCTATTAAATGTTGAAGCATTTGCAGAATTGCCATCTTAGTTTGCACAACATGTTCTCACTGTTAATTAAAAAAATTAGGTACATTTTAATTATGACCAAGTGTTCATATCAAATTGTGATTCCATTCAAATTTCTAAATGAACATCACTCATTCAGTTGTTTGTAAAACAGAAGAATATATAGATTTAATCAATAATAATCATTTAAACGGAAATTGACATATTAATTATATAACCACAAAGTTGAGATGTATTTTATATGAATTTGAATATTTGTTTTCTTGCTGCATATGGAAAAATGTAAGAATTAATAAAATAAATGATTGTGCCATAAAAATGAAACAAGAGATTTTTTTATAATTTTACTTAAACAGAAACACTGAAAAAAGAACAAACAAATAGAAAATACAAAATACACATCACTATATATCGCGCACTTCAATAAGTCGTCGACGTTTCGAATATCAATCTGTACGACATCCTATCTTTAAAAATAAACGATGAATTGGAGTTGAACATATTTAAAAATAAATTAAAATATGAAATGATTAACATATATTGCGACTTACCCATTTATGTCTACCTTTTTTGTCAGTTACTAGATTTTATATTTACGTTTTATATAGTTATGGTTTTTCCTCACATACAAGTGTCTTACTTATGTGATTTTTTGATTATTTAATATATCAATATTGAATAAAAAAAACTTTCGTTACTCACATTTGTGACAATTAAAAACTAAAGTCTGATTCCAAATTTGAAGGCAACTGTTACAAACGCTTTTTTGCTATTTGAAAATGCATTTTTTTAAAACACCTTATCTCTAAAATAACACACATTTACTTCTGTATCGTAAAATCATAAAATGTACAACTTTTGATAAATTGGGACAAATACACATAACGTACAATAGAATAATTAATAATAAATACAATTAACCCTTAATTTGGAAATATTAATGAGTGTTTTGATATAGGTACCTGGTACAGGGTGTATTAAATATTTATTTTATTTTACAGGGAAGATCAAAACGTGTCAAACATTAATGCATATAATATATCGCAATCCCAAAGACTCAGATCTATTAGTCGTAGTTACTCCTGTCACAATCCGCAAATCAAACCGAAAAAGCTCACTCGTAGCAAAACGCTAGAACCGTACAAAGCAGTCACTTTCAGTCCAAACAACACTTATCACCATATAGACAACTACAATAGAGACACCATTCCACGTCGCTTACCTCCAAATCCCGTAAATATAATTAAGAAGCTAGGCCACAAATGCATAAAACATAAAAGCAGGGTTTACGAGCAAAGGCTGATGTCTGAATTTAATTCTAACGGTGATGAAAACTCGGACCACGAGAACGAGATAAAATTTAGTAGCCCGCGAGGTAGTTTTAGCGGAGACGGAAGCAATGAAGCGCCCGAAAGTTTCGTGGAAACTTACGGCGCACATTTCGAGGATTGTTGTTGCGACGATAAACTTTTTTTATCTGGCAACTTATCCAAAAATGAAATTCACTTCATTTCTTTTAATAACAAAAACTCAGGCGTGGCGACAGTACAAAAACAAACTGACGAGGGTCCCGCCGCTTTTCAGTCAATAACTGATGAAGTCGGGCCAGATATGACAGACAAACCTATCGAATATTCAAATTCTCCCCTGGCAGATTACCAAAAGCCCCTTAGGCCGATTACAAAAAGTATTACGTTTGATCTAAAAAGTGACACGGACTCTTGTTCTAAGAACCCAAACTTTAAACACAGTCAAAATAAAAATTCCTCTGACAAAACTTTCCGTCAGGACTGCGACAAGCAGAGCGACGACGACGATGGCGATTGTGGAAGGCCTAAAGTTATCTTTAAAATGTGTAGCATAGATAAAACTTGTAACGCTAGATCTACCTTTAATTCCGCTTCTATTGATAGCACTGAATACGGCGGCTATCCCGCTTACCGCAGTATGCCAAGAAACGCTAGAGAACGAGAACAAGATGTTCGAGAACCCATAGAACCTCTAGATCCACACCACGATTATCACCCCCATCCAAACCATCACTATAATAACCACCACCATCATAGAGAGGCTAGCGTGAAGAGGGGACAGTTCACGAGGAGTCTGTCGAATACGGAGCCGCCACCAGACGAGAAGATAGGTAAGATTTTTGTCTGCACTTGGCGCATTCGCCATTTTATCCACTTCAACAAAATACATCCATCAACCAACATTATTTGCCAGACAACCTATACAGGCTGTTACAAATTCGCTTCTCACTACAGGGATCTCGGAAACGGTAAGAGGTACGAAATAGTTTAAATAGGGGCAAAGCTGCGTAATCAGGGGACCAACATTATGCCTCTAAAAAATCAAGGCTAACATGATTAGTTTTCGAAATATTTGAAAAAAAACGAAATTTTGGAAATCCGTTTTTGTTTTCTTTCTCATGGCCACTTTTTCCNAGTGTGTCTCTACAAGAAAAAAATATTAGCGAAATTTCAAACAAATATCTCTAATTCTACCGGAGTTATCGACAAATTTCGTTTTTGAAATTTACATTTTGACACCCTGTATTTCAAAAATGGGACTCCTAAATGAAAAGTGGCATAATGAAAGTCCCATTATTTTCATATCAGCTATCTATGGTTAACGGATTGACCTACTAATTTTCGGCACCCTGTATATCGCGCACTTCAATAAGTCGTCGACGTTTCGAATATCAATCTGTTTTCATTTTATTTTCAGGATTCGACAATGAGAATGTACTTATATGTATTTTCTTTTTGTCTGCTTTTTTCCAGTGTTAAATTTTCATAAAAATTAACCATTGAGTAAAACTTTCAGCACAAGGGTTTATTTTATTAATATTTTAAAATTTTTTCACTAGTGGCAAAATATCTTCTAAATAAAGAAAAAACGAAAACTATGCTAAAAATAATTAATAAGTAAATTGAAGAAATGAAATAACTTATTCAACAAATGAATTATATAGAAAACAATCAGACTTACGACATCCTAACTTTAAAAATAAACGATGAATTGGAGTTGAACATATTTAAAAATAAATTAAAATATGAAATGATTAACATATATTGCGACTTACCCATTTATGTCTACCTTTTTTGTCAGTTACTAGATTTTATATTTACGTTTTATATAGTTATGGTTTTTCCTCACATACAAGTGTCTTACTTATGTGATTTTTTGATTATTTAATATATCAATATTGAATAAAAAAAACTTTCGTTACTCACATTTGTGACAATTAAAAACTAAAGTCTGATTCCAAATTTGAAGGCAACTGTTACAAACGCTTTTTTGCTATTTGAAAATGCATTTTTTTAAAACACCTTATCTCTAAAATAACACACATTTACTTCTGTATCGTAAAATCATAAAATGTACAACTTTTGATAAATTGGGACAAATACACATAACGTACAATAGAATAATTAATAATAAATACAATTAACCCTTAATTTGGAAATATTAATGAGTGTTTTGATATAGGTACCTGGTACAGGGTGTATTAAATATTTATTTTATTTTACAGGGAAGATCAAAACGTGTCAAACATTAATGCATATAATATATCGCAATCCCAAAGACTCAGATCTATTAGTCGTAGTTACTCCTGTCACAATCCGCAAATCAAACCGAAAAAGCTCACTCGTAGCAAAACGCTAGAACCGTACAAAGCAGTCACTTTCAGTCCAAACAACACTTATCACCATATAGACAACTACAATAGAGACACCATTCCACGTCGCTTACCTCCAAATCCCGTAAATATAATTAAGAAGCTAGGCCACAAATGCATAAAACATAAAAGCAGGGTTTACGAGCAAAGGCTGATGTCTGAATTTAATTCTAACGGTGATGAAAACTCGGACCACGAGAACGAGATAAAATTTAGTAGCCCGCGAGGTAGTTTTAGCGGAGACGGAAGCAATGAAGCGCCCGAAAGTTTCGTGGAAACTTACGGCGCACATTTCGAGGATTGTTGTTGCGACGATAAACTTTTTTTATCTGGCAACTTATCCAAAAATGAAATTCACTTCATTTCTTTTAATAACAAAAACTCAGGCGTGGCGACAGTACAAAAACAAACTGACGAGGGTCCCGCCGCTTTTCAGTCAATAACTGATGAAGTCGGGCCAGATATGACAGACAAACCTATCGAATATTCAAATTCTCCCCTGGCAGATTACCAAAAGCCCCTTAGGCCGATTACAAAAAGTATTACGTTTGATCTAAAAAGTGACACGGACTCTTGTTCTAAGAACCCAAACTTTAAACACAGTCAAAATAAAAATTCCTCTGACAAAACTTTCCGTCAGGACTGCGACAAGCAGAGCGACGACGACGATGGCGATTGTGGAAGGCCTAAAGTTATCTTTAAAATGTGTAGCATAGATAAAACTTGTAACGCTAGATCTACCTTTAATTCCGCTTCTATTGATAGCACTGAATACGGCGGCTATCCCGCTTACCGCAGTATGCCAAGAAACGCTAGAGAACGAGAACAAGATGTTCGAGAACCCATAGAACCTCTAGATCCACACCACGATTATCACCCCCATCCAAACCATCACTATAATAACCACCACCATCATAGAGAGGCTAGCGTGAAGAGGGGACAGTTCACGAGGAGTCTGTCGAATACGGAGCCGCCACCAGACGAGAAGATAGGTAAGATTTTTGTCTGCACTTGGCGCATTCGCCATTTTATCCACTTCAACAAAATACATCCATCAACCAACATTATTTGCCAGACAACCTATACAGGCTGTTACAAATTCGCTTCTCACTACAGGGATCTCGGAAACGGTAAGAGGTACGAAATAGTTTAAATAGGGGCAAAGCTGCGTAATCAGGGGACCAACATTATGCCTCTAAAAAATCAAGGCTAACATGATTAGTTTTCGAAATATTTGAAAAAAAAACGAAATTTTGGAAATCCGTTTTTGTTTTCTTTCTCATGGCCACTTTTTCCCCTCTATCGAATGGCATAATCAATTTTTATATGTAACGTTTCGTCTCTCCAGGACCGTCATCAACTTCATTTTTTTAAATACGACCCTAGAAATTTTTTTAGATTTTTTGCAAGCCTTCATGACCTACCTCAGCACGAACCAGATTCGGACGTTTCGCCTCGAAAAATTCATCTAAATCGTATCAAATTCAAGGCGTTGGAAAAACAATTTTGCATACTGGTATCTGTTATATATCGGTTTGTTTGTAATTGCTGTTACCTCTCAACTTATAACAAAATGAATGATTAAGTATAATGAATTAGTTCGACAGATCCATATCGAATTTTTCCTAACAGAAGAAAGCTTAGTAAACTTGAAGCAAATCTAAGACAATTAAGTTATAGGAAAAATATGTATGTAACAATAACTTAGTAATATTAATAAATAAAAAACTATACAATACAATATTAAATACAAACGAAAAATCTAAAATGAATAGTAAAATTTAAAAGCACCCCATGCAAAAAAGAAATTCTTAAATCAAGAACGATATAGTTTAATATTGATGCTAATATACCATAATATTAAACTAATTAAAATTTCTTCATTTAAATGAACGTTTTCTTCGCGGAATAAATTTTATTTAGTTTAGGATTGTGGTACATTAGCGTTAAGAATATATTTATTTGCGTACCTATATATAATAAATACTTGTACCATTCTTGATTTAAGAATTTCTTTTTTTGTGTGCGTTCAAACTGTTGTCTATTTCTTTCGATATACAGGGTATTTGTAAATAAGTGCGAAATATTTTAGGGGGTGGTTGTCGAAGTTATTTTGTGAAAAAAAGTTCATATAAACGAAGGTCGAAATATGTTTCATTTCCGAGATACAGTGTTTAAATTTTAATTTTTTGTTTATATGTATTAATTATTTTAAATAGTTTTAAAGATATTGACTCGAAATGATGGTTATATTTTATTTAGAAATAGTGACAGCAACCTACTGGATAATGTATCAATAGAAATTAAATAACTTGCAATAAAATATATGTTATTTTTTTACTCCAAAACGGTGCATCCCACGAAAAAAATTGTAGAGACCAATTTCATTCAAAATTGGTGGCGGATTTCTAATAATATTCGGATCACCCCAAAAAATGCACATTTATCCCTCCAAAGCGCTTTTCAAATTTCGATTCAATATCTTTAAAACTCTGAAATAATTAATAAAAATAAATAAAAAATTAAAATTTAAACACTCTGTATCTCGGAAACGAAGCGTATTTCGACCTACGTTTACATGTAGTTTTTTCACAAAATAACTTCGCCAACCACCCCATAAAATATTTTGCACTTATTTACAAACACCTTGTATAATTCGCATCTTCGAATTATATTCTAACTGCATTTAATTTAACGTTAATTGGAATATTTTTTATTGCGGTACTAATTCTGTCTTTTAACTGATCAATGTTATTTGGTGGTGTTAGATAAACTTCGTGTTTTACGAATCCCCAGAGAAAGAAATCCAATGGATTAATATCTGAGGATTGTGGTGGCTAATGTATGAGTTTTCTTGTACCAGTCCAGCGGTCTTCAAATGTAGCATTCAAATAATTTATTTATTTATTTGAGCATTATGTGAAGGTGCACCGTCTTGTCATACTCATTAACTGTTAATTCTTCCAAATACTCTTGAAACTGATCTCTCAAAAAATAGTTATACCGTTCACCAGTTAAAGAACTATCAAAGAACTATGGCCCTAATATTTTTAAAACTAATATAGTTAGTACGGAGACACGATCAAAACAACTGTCAAATTTTTAATCTGAGTGTCAGTTCTGTTTTTAAATGCGCTAGTCAAACTATAGTCTAAAATTAATACCCAACAAACGTCCTCCATTTTCTTTCACTCTAATACACATAAAATATTGGAACGATTGCCTGTGATAGATGTGAGACTATGAAGACATTTATACCATCATTGTATCTCTTTTTAGTGCGTTTAATAATGAATACACATCCGCAACGACTGTCTTTGATATTAGGACACACATGTGTCGTAATGGCAATCTTAAAACGGTTCTACTATATGATGTATTGCGGTCTGACCAAAAAATCATTTTTAGAAAGTTGGGATTATTATTATTATTTAGGTACCAGCGACACAACAATATTCTTTGTTTAGTTATTTTCATGGAGATACCAGATTCACTTTGTAAGGAAACAATTTATGTTTATGAAGAATTTTATACACAAACGTACTCAATTAAATTATGATTCCTGGCTAATTCCCGTATTCGGATTTTCTTGCATACTTAATAGTAAATCTAATTCTTGATTTTCATTGCAAGCATATCCTAAAGAAAATCTTTTCTTCTTTACTGTCTTAGATTTGCTTCAAGTTTACTAAACTTTCTTCTGTTAGTGGAAATTCCATTAGGATAATGTTGTCGATATAATTGTAAAGCTGCAACACTGTATTTTCTACATTCGTAACAAACCTGCAGCATATCAACTATATTAAAATCATTCATTTTTTTATAAGTTAAATTTGAAATGTGACAACAATTACAAACAAACCGATATATGACAGATAACAGTAGGTATGTAAAATTGTTCTTCCAGCGCCTTCTATTTGATATGATTTAGAAAGAGAGTATGGTAAACTAAAGTCAAAGGCTAAAAGATTTCTCATTTTTTCTCAAAAATTTCGTTATGCAAAGATATATACAAATTTTATATTGTTGTAAAGAAAATAAAAAAATCAATCAACACCAATCCATTAATCCCATTTAAAAATATCATTGACGTCACCAATCACCTTCAGTGTCAGTATAAAGAAAATAATATCCCTCTTAAAAATATATGTACTTTATAGATTATCAAAAAATTGGTAACACGGGGTCTTTATAATCAAACATTGACTATTGAAATTTGATACAGATAAGTTGATTAGATGAGAATGTTAAACATTTCAGTGTTGTTAGTTTTTTGGCTGTTAGAATTCTCTAACTACGTCCTTTGAAAGTGATATGCCAGGTTTTTTAGGTTGTTTTTACTTTTTTTTATCGTCTATTATATATTACATTAATATAGTATTATTGTTAAAATTGTTCAATACGTGCCATTTTTTGGAGAGGACGCAACTGATTGTTCCGCAAGGAACATAGTTCTATTCCTTAATATACAGGGTGGACGGAAACGTACCGGCATATTTAAAGGATGTGCGAAAATAAACAAGTTTAAATTAGCTTATTTTGGTGTAATTTTGTCTCATTAAAAAGCTATCGGTGTTCAGAAAAAAATGTTTTATTCCATTGTAACTAGTACAAACCAAAAGCTTTTTAATAAAACTAAATCGTACTAACGTAAATTGATCTAAATCGATTTAATTTCATCCAAGAAAGTTACCTGTATATATGGCCTGTTTGTTTTCGAACATCCTGTTTATTTTGTAGAAGCTGGTTGTCTGTGAGACAGTTAATTGCATTTTTCTCAAAAGCGGTGCGATTTTATAGTGACTTCAACAAGAGTAATTTAAAACAAAATTTTACAATTTATAATAGATTATGGGCACCATAAAAAAATGTCATAAAATGTGCCTGGCAAAGGGCATAGCTAGCGACGTCTAGCAAATGATCAAAAACTAAGAGCACTAACCTCAAAAATTTACTGTACCAAATTTCAACGAATTAAATTGTGTTTTGAAAAAGGTGAAGTTAAAATTTGATCTTAAAAAATTATCATTGAAGCATTATATCTCAAAAACAATATCTTAGGTACATATTTCCAAAATATCCTGTACATTTATTAATACAGGGTACCCGGAAGCGAATGGACCATACCTCAAGAATAGCTTCCTTTTATGATTATTTTATTTATTTATCACATATACAATTTATTGTTTTAGATGGTAGTCTAAGCGATACAGCTGTTGGTCAACTGCACGTACTGGAAGCCCCCCAAAAGGAGAGCAGCGGCAGGAAAGAGAGCCAGAGGGACCGCGAGAGGGACAGGCAAGCCCAGTTCGTGGGCTTGAGCAAAAAAAGCAACTCCACCAGCCAGCTGTCGGCCACAGGTAAGCCAGACACAAAACAGTAACCTAACGACACTCTTTACTGACTCCTCACTGATCGTATTTTGAATATATGGGTCTTTATTTGAGTAGTACCTATGTTTTCTTATTGAATAGATACACGTTTAGATTAGAATTGATGTATTAAAGTTGTGAAATGCGTGTTCGCTCTTCCCGTTACCCCTTTACATCCCCAGTAATAAGCCAATGCGTAGGTCGGAAGCGAAGGATGGGCTTCGGTAAGAGGGGGAAGACCTCCTTCACGGTTCATAGATCAGAAGAGATACTGCCAGGCGATGTTCGGTTGTCGAAACAAGGCTCGTCGGCGTCTAGCGACGGAGAGGGCTCTGCGGATGGCGACAGGTTTCTATATTTTCAGTTTGACAACCCCGCGCAAGGTGCAACAACAAACAAATTTGTCTTGACTACACTTATACAGATTTTATGTAAAATTACACACTAGATCATTGGTTATTTTAATGCCGCACTGGGTAATATAAAAGCAAAGCACATAATTTTACATGTTTTCCGTAATTTTAGCCCAGTCATTATAGACATGAAAGAGCCTGTTTCGGGAAAAAAATACTATTAGAAGTTTCTCTGCGGAATATTGTTCGGAAACCTGTTATAAATAAAATATCAAAAAATCAACTCGAGGCTAGTTGGGAAACTTTGTTTTAACAGTGGTCAAAGTTATGGAAAAGTGGTTTTTTGACTCACGTAAAAAAGCTATTATTCATAGCGAAAAAAAGTTTATACAAAAAAGGTAGGTATTAAATAAGCCTATAAAATGAAAAAAGTCCGATTAAATTCCGATAATTTGTTTATGCACAAGAGCTCAAAAATGGTCGAAAATTGCCGTTTTTTTCAATTGCTAATAATTAATGCAATTTTCATCGCAGACACTTGTAATTCAGGATTTTTGAGGCTTTTTACACCCTTAATAAGTGGTAAAAATTTCAGCTCGAAAGCTTCATTGGTTTGGCGTTGGCGGAATTTGTTATCTAAGAAGATGCTATTTTCAATTCATTTTTCCCAAGCTCACAGGCGTTGTAGGGTTTTGATCATTAGTTGTTTTTGTACCTAAATAGTTGTATTGACATAGGCATTTACTGAGAATTTAGTTTTTCAAATTTAATTTGTTTAAAATTGATTGAAAAAATGTTAATATTTATTAAATTGTTAAGATAGGTAATTATTATAAAATAAAATAGTAACCTCTTTACTTTAGTTTTCTTCGAATTTAAAAAAAAATCGTTGTTGTAAGTTGATTAGAAGCTGAGATAATTTTTTTTATTTATTTAATCGCAGTGACCTTAATTATTAATATTAAGAGCCGAAATTTGGAGAGAGTATACATTAAGAGCTATATTTTCATGTCCTACATTAACATTAAGGTGAATTCAACTATTTAATTTCGAAAAAGAAGATAGCGGCGATGCGTTCTATTACTTGGTCTAGCGAACGAGTGGGGAAGGCGAGGCTTAGCATGCGCGCTTAACGATGTAATAAATATTAACATTTTTTCAGTCATTTTTAAACAAATTAAATTTGAAAAATTAAATTATCAGTAAATGCATATGTCAATACAACTATTTAGGTACAAAAACAACTAATGATCGAAACCCTACAACGCCTGTGAGCTTGGGAAAAATGAATTGAAAATAGCATCTTCTTAGATAACAAATTCCGCCAACGCCAAGCTAATGAAGTTTTTGGGCTGAAATTTTTACCACTTATTAAGGGTGCAAAAAGCTTCAAAAATCCTGAATTACAAGTGTCTGCGATGAAAATTGCATTAATTCTTAGCAATTGAAAAAAGCGGACAATTTCGACCATTTTTGAGCTCTTGCGCATAAACAAATTATCGGAATTTAATCGAACTTGTCTTATTTTACAGATTTATTTAATACCTACCTTTTTTGTATAAACCTTTTTTTCTCTATGAATAACAGTTTTTTTACGCCAGTCGAAAAACCAATTTTCCATAATTTTGACCATTGTTTTAACAAAGTTTCCCCAACTAGTCTCGAGTTGATTTTTTGATATTTTGTTTATAACACGTTTCTGAACAATATTCCGCAGAGAAACTTCTAATAGTATTATTTTCCCGAAAAAAGCTATAATGATTGGCCTATTTACTCAAAATCGATGTATGTGTAGGTATATTTATTTAGTAAAGTATAGTTTTACTAAAAAACAGGGAAATTACATATTATTTCTAACAGGAAACGGTAGTTTTGACTAGCTGGTTAACAGAAAAACCATGTTAAAAAATTTTTTTCGGAAATGCAGTAAACGGTGCCAAAGGCTAGTGAATTAGGAATGCTCTGTATTTGTTGTCAAGCTTTCGGAAACGGTTAATTCCTTTCCCAATTTACAATAATAATTGACATACAGGGTGTTAATGATAAGTAATGGCTATGAAAATATTTTTTCATAAAAAACTTATTTCAAAATACACTCCAGTGGCGTAGTTATTGGGGAAGGAGGGGAACTTTTTTGAAAAAAAAAAAAAAATCGAACGCCATGTTTTTACAGTGTACAATCAATTTGTGGCAATAAAGTATTCTTGTAAAGTATTCGTAAAATTTACTGGTCTAGATAATTAGGAAACCAAATAAGAAGATACTACTTAAGTACCTCTATTGATTGCTAAATGTGTAACAATAAATCCAATAAATAATAACTAATATAATATTGTGACTATTCCTAGCAACAACTTGCCACCTACGGTACTGGTATTTTACAATTGAAATGAAGTGAATGCCACATTTTTTTTAAATAAAATATGCTTTTAGTTGTATGAAAAATAACACACTTTTTGCAACACACAAAACAGTGGCGTTGTATAGTGTTTTGAAATCTCTCAAAAGGTATTGAATTTATTTAGCAATCAAAAAATGGTAAATAGCAAAGTAGGTAGGTAATTAAATATCTTCTTATTTGATTTCCCAATTATCTAAAGACCAGTAAATTTTACGAATACTTTAGAATAATACTTCATTGCTACAAATTGATTGTACATTTTAAAAACATTTGAAATTATTTAAAAAACCAGTGGCGTACGATTTTTTTCCAAAAAAGGTCCCCTACTTCCCCAATAACTACACCACTGGAGTGTATTTTGGAATAAGTGATCCATGAAAAAATAGTCCCTACTAAAAAAATGTCATTCCCCAAATTTTAACACTAAATATTTTTTGCCAGTGAAGTTACAGGAAAAATCATATAAATATTTGAAACCTTTAACACACTGTATCTCCGTAGGGAAGAGTCCTATCAAAAATTTTTATAGGGCAAAAGTTGATTATTTTCGGTAGAATACGCCATTAATGTGATAAAAGCTATATATTTACAAAACATGAAATTGTATTAAAAAATCATCAAAAAAGAAATACGATATTATATTAATAATACATACCTATTACATATTTAAATGAAGGTTATTATTAATAATAATATACTCGTAATATTACTTCTTTCAATAATAATTTTCACAATAAAAGACACCCTTTTCCGTAATGAATGACTAAAGTCGTACTGATGAACACCTAAAATTGAACATATAATTTATAGTTACAATAAAAAACCTTTTTTTATGTAGTATACAACTCGCACACGATTCCAGAGGTTCCTAATTAGTTTTAATAATGTTCATTATTAATTTTAAGCACTGTTTGGCAGTTTCTATGATTTAGATTATTGAAAATGCTTATTATTAGTGCATTTTACCTACCGTTAAAAAATTATCTTCAAGTTTTTAAATACCGTATACTTAATTCTAAAACTAATTACAAATAATTGGAACTCAGTACTGGTTGTTACTTAAGGTGCAATAGCTTCTGTATCGTTTTAAATATCTAAAGAATAAACTAGATTTTCTCAGACATACCTATTATACTCAGCTGGGGTAGTACTGCAAATAGCCACCTTAGCCATATCATGTCACAAAAATGCATAATAAAGATCGTTTATATCAAAAAATTAACTTGCGCATCTCAGACATTGTTGTTTAAAACTGGAATACTCCATCTTATACACATATACTCCAGTTATTTTCAATATTTACAAAGCTTTTGAAAAAGCTATTCATGGCTATTGTACAAAGAATAAAGTAAATAATAATGTAAAAATTGAAATTTCATAAAGAAATATTAGTTTACATTACTACTGTCACATATAATCAACAATAATTTACCAGAAATATACAAAATTTATTTAGTCAAAATGAACTCACGAAATATGACAACATATGACATACATATTTAAAAAACATACATTAGGTAGAATAGAAATTAACAGCTTAATTGAAATTTTTAACTAAATTAACACTAACTATTTTAGTTTCAGTTATTTAATTTTTAACTACCTACCTACATTTTTCGAAATATTTGCGTAACTAAAGAGTGTCCCAAAATTTACGCAAGAAGTACTGTTGATAGAAAACACAGGTTTTTAATTAAAAATTGTAAATTATTTTTTTTAATCATAAAGTATATAGTATAAGGTTATGTATGAAATAGTATATCGAGTAAATTGCCTCCACGGATTTGCTGGCACATACACACTCTTTTGTCGAAATTTTATATGACCGTTTTGCATCAAATTTTAATTTCGTTTATGATCGTGGGCTTGTTGGCACAAACCTTAGACAAAAAACCCAAAGAAAAAAGTCAATATATCGCTTCACGTTGATGAAGTAAAATCACTATTTGGACTACCTATATTTTATACGAAAATGCGTTGTTCTTTTGTTTAGCGCTACGTTTTTTATAACCCTGAACTGTTAGCTGTCACGCTGCCTTTTCTTTTACTTCACCGCACAAATGGCGCGAAATTCAAATCTTACGTGAATCTTGGGACACTTGATATATTTTTCAAAAACTTTCTCGTAGTATTTTCGAATCCATACTCACGATTTCTTACTGGAAACTGTATGGCAGAGTTCGGCGGCAAAGCCACATTTACACTAAACAATAAGCATTGGAAACATCTTATTATCCACACCTGTACCAAGATATTTTGATGTACATACATTCATGGCTCATTTATGTTTCAAATCTGGCAAACATAAAAGTGACTTAGCACCTTGGAATTATCAATTTATTTTAAAAAAATATATTTTACAATATACCTAACACATTTATTACCTTAACGAAATATCAATCGATATTAAAATTGTATAAACGATAATCTAAGAGAGTTCCTTCATCTCTTATTAATATTCATACTAACATAAGTATAAATTTTCAAAATTTTCTAAAACAACGAAATTTGAGACATTACCTTCTAAATAGTGTAGAGGAAGAAACGAATCATTGGAGATACTTCAGACAATAAGTAATGAACTACTTACTTCA